TTCAATCAAAAAAAGCTGCGTGCGGAAGATTCTCAAAACAATTGTTAAATATCGGTGATGAGAAAGTTACTCCAGATAAAACAGGATGCACAAAATTCTCGACTCATTTCTGCACAATCATTGATTCGCAAGATGCTCTCATTGACCAGATATTTCTAATGTATACAGACAATATACAAATCATGAGTGGCTGGCAGAAAGAGCAATTTTAGCAGCAAAAAATGTGGACGTCAACGAATTGAATCTCAAGATACAACATTTGTTACCAAGAGACTTGGTGTCATTCAAATCTATTGATACAGTTTGTGATGCTACTGAAGCTGTAAATTAACCAACAGAGTTTTTAAACTCATTGGATTTATCAGTCTAGCCATCGCATAATTTACAACTGAAGGCTGGATCTCCTGTTATTTTGCTTCGTAATTTGAACCCGTGGTGGTTGTGCAACGGCACGCGATTAGTCATTAAAAAATTTAAAAATTAATGAAAAATGTTATTGAAGCCATCATTTTAAATGGAAAATTTCGAGGAGAAAATATATTATTATCACGAATTCCTATTATACCTACCGATGTGCTAATACAATTTAAACGCCTTCAATTTCCAATTAGATTGGCATTTGCAATGACTATCAATAAATCTCAAGGCCAAACGATGTCTGTCTGTAGCTTAGACTTGAGCATATAATGTTTTTCACACAGACACTTTTACGTGGCGTGCTCTCGAACCATCCAGTTTGTTTGTGTTGGCGAAAGATAGGATGATAAAAAATATTGTACACTCTGTTGCATTAAGGGATTGATATTGTTTTTTACTAATATTGTCATAATTAGCGATATATATAATTTTAAAGGATCAATTTAAATAAATTATTAAAAAAATAAATGTTTTTTTATTTTTATATTCTGTCACCGTTTACAGCACTCCATACTTCTTTCACTTGTGTACCACATCCTTACACACTTATATTAAATTAATAATTTTTTTCTAGCAAAATATTCTCTAGAAATAATTTATATTATTATTAAAACAATATTTGTCGGGTCAACTAGTAAATAATAATTATAATAATAATAATAATAATAATAAATAACAAATAAAAAAATAAAATAAAAATAATTCATTTTTGGCATTGAAAATGAATACTCTTTTCTATTAAAAAAATGAAATTTACACCTATTAAAGAGGACATATTTTTTTTTCCGATTGAACCATATTGGATTAATTTTGATGTGTTCGAGAACGGCTAAATAGGACATTGGAACTGAGATTTACGTGTAATATTAGGACGATGAATTTCATTCGTCTGTTAAAGTTTATTTTCAATAACTATATATGTTTATAAGAATCATCGGGCCGTACCGGTAAATGCTGGCGTTTAATTTGAGCGCCGACCGCGCGTACGCAAATTCATGATAATTTACACTACGATTTTGTTTTGTTGTGCTGCGATTGAATTCTGTTACACTACAGTTATCGTAATTTATCGCAAGCAACTAGTCAAAAACTTTTAATAAACTTTCCGAAGTGAAAAAAAAAAGAAAGAAGTTGACGCGCGCGTTCTCTCGCAACTTTGAAAGCAGCGTGTAGAGTTCTCCTTCAGGTCTACAATTACTGGACGGACATGGTATCTTCTACGTTTTATTTTCCACGTCTCGTTCTAATAGTTTTCGTAAACAACACGCACCTATCGTCGTAGAATTTACAACGCGTGAACTCATCTTTCCAAAAGGCAAACATAAAGTATTTAAAATCCATAACAATTAATCAATTACAAAACAACACGTACCACATTACAGACACGACCGACCCGACGGTTTGCCGAGAGCTGAGCACCGAACGCTCGGCGACGATCGATAATCAATACCACTGATCCCATCCGTAGGTAAAAACCTGCGGAACAAAGTTATTGTTTTTAGATTGCATGCCTGTGTATAATAAATAGCGTATAGAGGTGTAGTAATACGGGTAAAAACAATTTTAGGATGGCCTCCTTAAAGGACAGTTGAAGAAATCTGTTTCACGCTCCTGAGGATCTTCCTGTGCGCGACGGACATGTATCTGGTAGAGAAGCGGCAAAAAGTTGTTGCCCGCACGCGGAAAAATCTTAAGAACGGCCCCGTACGCATCGTTTTAATTAGTTGGTTATGTACGTGCACTCGCAGCAGCGTTGTTCGACGGGTTCAAAGTTACACGTTCTGGATCAGACGAGGAAGATTATGAGACTTTAATGCGTTTTATGCATAAAACATTACGATCGTTGCGGAAACGATTCAGCTGCTAAAAATCGAATTACTACACCAGCTGTACCTGTACGCCGGTGAGCACACTAAGATTTTATAACAACAAATGGTACATTTACAGCCGGTTAAACGTTTAAAGGCCGGGACAGGAACGCGCACCTGCGGAGTTTGTACGAGTTTCACTTGTATTGGATGTTTTTAATAAAAGTTACAAATACGGAGGCGTGTACGAAAACAGATAGTTTTCACGTGCTCGCCAACTACTGTGGGTAGGACTACCGCGCACCCGTACTATATAATATTTTATTCGGTCGTAAACGCGGATAACAACCGCAGCAACTACTACCAGTCACCACGGTTTATCGAATGTTTGTTTTATTTTCATTTCGATAATCAAAGAACGTCTAAGTGTATTTTCTCATCAGAAAAACGGTATTTCGACAATATAAAAGAAGATCAACTCGTGGTGTATACCACACACAAGCACACACACGTTGCGCGAGAGTGCCTGATTATATGTCTGTCGGACGTTTACGGTTGATAAATTCATTTAATTATATGAGGTTGTGCACGTGTGCTCACAAAATTCGTAGGGTTGAATATTCCCAGTGCTTTCTAAAAAGAACACTTAAGTTTGTAGGTACATCCGGTTAAATGTTAAGATAATCTATGCTCATCATAACTGTTAATTAATAGCCTGGGCCACAGTATATTTTACCGACCCAACTAATCATTTCACAGAAGAAGCATGACACAATATATTATCCTGAAATAAGTAGAATTACCAGGAATTGAATGGACCTGCGTGATAAGTGTACCGCTGCTTATTTAAAATACTACCAAAATACATATTCTATGTATTATTTATAACTTAGCAATATCCAAAGATATTTTAACGGAGTTGATAAAGTCACATTTTCTTTCTAATCCCAATGAATACCATATGATACCACATAATATCATACTTTTACGAATTACGTGTGTCGTACATACGTGCACAGTAGACGCAACTAAAGAGGTCTTATAGGATTTCACCCAATTTATCTTTTTCTAAAGTATATTCTGAAATAACTCTTATTTTCATAATTTTTTGTTACAAGGTAAGTCCAAATTTGTATGTATTACGTGTTCAAAGTAAATTTACATTCAAATTGATACTACGAGTGTTATTTTTTTTATTAAAACGGTAAAAATTACATTTAATTTCACTTCATTTTAGTCACTAACTATGCTAATTCAATTTTTAAATCTGTTAAAATAGAGTTTTAACATATATTAAAAGCCATTCATAAAAACTAAAAAATGGATTACCGTTTGAACTTAAGTGTTCTTTATAAGAGTTTGAATAATACGGAGTATAATAATTATTAATATCAGCAAAATATTTTCGATCAAATTTTATAATAAAAAATTACCTTTTTAAAATAGTATGTCAATATATTGCGTTTAAATAAAAACCCAAATAAATATTTAAGCATTAAGAAATAGCATTTTAATTAATTTGATTCTAAATTTGTTAAAAAAATAAATAACAATAACAAAACTCTCCCTCAGACATTTCCATTGTTAATAATAATCACATTTCTTATAAATATTTGTTTTTGATAAAAAAAAAAATAATAATAATAATATTAATAAATAATTGTAAATGAAACGTATAATAAAAACGAATTTCGTCTTCGGCTAAGCTATTTATTTATTTTTTTAATCATGAGGGTAGTTTTTTCTCCATGTGCGTATTGTACAACATCAAATGAAACATATCTTATATGGATGTATTCGTATACAAATGTAATCCCGTGGTTTTCAGTAACTGCACCCGACAGACAATTTTGTTCGCAGTTACGGGAGAACATGTTTGGATTAAGCATTGCTATTTTCGTAATATTATAAGCCTACAAAACACATTCGTGCCACCGTACTGCACACAACTGCGAAATATATTTGTATTTGGATAGGAACGCAAAAATTATTATGTTCGTTCGTATACAATCTTTGTGCGGGGCGGCGTGTGCCAGGGCCCAAGTAAATTGTTATGCGAATAAGTTACGCGTATTTTAAATTACATCCGTGTACGATAACTTAAACGTACGAGTTATCTTCCGCACCAAAAACATGAATAGGCATTACAAGCGCAGACGTACATTCTTAACAGTTGTCAGTTGTACACCTGTGGTAGGAACAAAAGAGATAAAATCCACTTTATGGTCATTATTTCTCCACGTTTTAGCTTTATGAAACCGTGCCCGTCGAATTAGAATTATAAAACGAACAATTCCTTTAAACACGGTAATTGTTTATTTATTTAATTGTATTGCGGTGAACATTATACCGACGTGCATCATGTAAAACTACAAATATTAATTATGTTAACGTGTAAACATTACAATAAAAGATTGCAAAAATAATGTGTTCGATACATTTAAGGTATGCCTACCCGGCAGCTGATGATCGTTTGCTTGTGGAACAATATTATGCAACTCCGACAATTACAATATCATACGGTGTTATAACATTTTATTGATATCATATTACTCAGGTCTGTGACGAGGAGAAAATCCAAACGGTTTTTCAATTAAGATTGCTAGATGTATTCTGATGTCCTAACAAATATTACTGTGACCCTTTTATTGTTTATTGTAGGTCATAACAAACTGTCTTAAACTAAAAACAACTACATAACTAAATAACATAAATAAAATACAAAAACAACTAAAAGCTATTGCTTAAAATATATTTCAACAATTGCACTCTGCATTAAATTTAAAATTTATAATATAACTTTCAATATAATGTCAAGTTCACTTGTATGCATAGAACAAATCAACTATTAAAAAAAAATATAAGCAATTTTTAAATTAACTTTTTTCTACATTAACTTAACAATTTATAACTATATTGTTGTTTCTTCTCAACTACGCGTGCTACTGTAATATTGAATATGTTTAAGTATGGTTAAACAGGTACATAGTTTATAAAGAGTTATTAAACATTTAAAAAATTACAACTTCGTGAATAAAATATAGGAATGATACCTTACTTCATTTTGTATTAAACGCAAAATATGATTTAGGCGTGTTTAGGGCTACAAAACTAAGTTTATCTTAAAACCTCTCGAGACATGGCCATGAATCACAAGCGACTTCTACGGTCACGTTACTAGCGTTTGATTCCAGCATTTGTTTGTGACCTTCTATTTGAAATTGCACCAGTACCAGAAAGTATATCAACACAACACCAGCGGTCTGCAAAAACAATATACAATATCCACAATTAGTAATATTACGTGAGGTATTGGTACAAAATATTGCATCGGTTATCTCGCGGGTGCATTAATGCAATAAATTTATTGTAATCATTGTTCGTTTAAGCTGAAAATAATTACTGTGGAAATAATTGCGATTGTAATACTTTAATTGAACCTGGTTATTATTGCTAGTTGAATTTCATCTTACCGCAAACAGAAGTGATAAATTTATATCGAAAAATCCAGAAGCCGTGACTTGTATGGAACGACTGTTCACGCGGAGTGTAAATAACCTCAGCTGTAAATAAATAATAATAGTTTTACCACAGTAATGAATTTGAATAAAATTTATTTATTTTTATATGATCCGATTGCATAGGTATCTACTTGTTGATGAAACGATATTATTTATTAATATATTACACTATTTCAGTATAATTACATAACAATGTTTTATAATAGTTACTAACAACGGTTTGAGAATTCATATCGTTCGATAGTTTTGAACTCAAGTGCTTCAAATGAAAGATTATCCTTTTGCCCTGAAATCAGAACTTTTGTTTCAATACCGTTTTTGCCGGTTAAAGTTACAAGCTCCTTAAATGTATTATTTATACATGGTGTTAATTAGTATTATCGAGTACTCTTTCGTCGGGTGATGATTACGGAATAAAAACGTTTAACGAAGAAATTGTAAACTCTTTAAACTTTTCTCGGCTTTCGTTATACGTTATTATTCACTTATCTAAACAGACATTTTTAAATCAACAGTGTCGTGGTCAGTGATGTAGTGCTAAAAATATAAGTGGGTAGACGCCAAATTCTGTCAAAAATAAAATTTCCACATTAAAAATATAATATGGGGAGCTTCGCCCCCACCCCTCCCTTAGATTTCTTAAAAATATAATTTCTTGATCATCAATTATGAACTATATAATATTATTTATTTTTAATGTAATATAACTCCGTGCTCTATTATGATTTTGTTTAAATTTTGTGCTTGATAAGATATTACAGCCATGTCACACACATTACAATTTACATTTTCATTTTTATTTATAGCAACTATAAATTATAAAATATTGCTTAATAATTGCACTTATTGTAAAATAATTTTCAAATGACACTTAATACATGACGAATTATGATTAACGAAGATAATATAATACAATTCACATGAAACACCATTGTAAAATTGTAAATGGACAAATGTTAATATATTTTTAATATAAATAAAGAAACTAAAGAGTGGTTATACGCATGTACACGACCGTGAACCCACGGACTTGGGTTTTTTTATTGGATACATGCATATTCTGAAAAAATGGAAGTGGGTACACGTCGTGTACCCCATGTACCCTCCACTACATCAATGGTCGTGGTGTAATCAATTGAAATTGAAATCAAACCTAATCAAATCGTATAAAAGATAAGGTAGGTAGAAAAACCGTTCCGAATCCAACAATCGGACAAAATCGACGTGTTAAGAATATTAAGATATCCTCTAGGGATGATCAACAACAATATAAGTAGTAATAAAAGGGAGCTTCTGAATCCATTTTTTTCCAGTTTTAAAATATATCAAGATGGCTTCTAAGTCTATTTTTTACAATTTTAAAATATATCAAGGAGGTTTCTGAATTATACCGAGATATATAGTACACTAAATAATTTTAATAATTTATTAAAATCACTTGTACAATTAACTACAGACTTTATAATGAAAAGATTAATTTAGTATAAGATATTCAAAACTTATACAAAAACGGACAAGTTATTGAAACACTGATATTTAACGAACTAACACTTATATAATAAAAAATTACCGTAAAAAATGTATAAACAAAACAGTATTACAATATAGCATACCTCAGTATGATTCAGAAACCTCCTTAGTATATTTTAAAATTGTAAGAAAAATAGACTCAGAAGCCCCCTCCTTTATTACTATAAATATAACGTGTACAGCGGTAATAATAACCCCTCGAACTTACCTCTTTGACGGAAGAATCGCATCTGTAACACAGATAAACAAATTTTCCAACTATGATAACGAATTCAATGATACCACTGATATACACGAAGAGAGTTGCGTTATCGTCAAACACGCGACGAACAACCGTGTCCCATATGATCACGTACACCAACAGCAACAGTTGCACGTAAATGTCCATGATCGTGAACACCAGTTCGGTTCCGAACGTATTTGACATGGTCTCCATGAAGTCGTCTAGAAACCAATGATCGTTCATCAACGCGTTCAACCGTATCAGCCGTTCGGTTTTCGAACTCACGTAACACAGCTCTTCCAATTCTCTAGAACACAACGGGTACAGGGATCGACCGACAGTAATGGTAAAATATTAATTTACAAAATCAATTCGGTACGACAAACATTACTGGGATAATTTTTGAGTGTGTGTGTGTGTGTGTGTGTGTGTGTGTGTGTGTGTGTGTGTGTGTATGTGTGTGTAATTATATGTCCTTGTTTATTTAATTTCAAAACCGAAAATGGCGAAACTCCCGGATCGAGTGAGACTCCGTGGTAGGACGAGAACCAGGTAATATATAAGATAATAGATAGATAATATTATAGAATAAAAACCAAATAACTTTAAAACTCGTAAAAACAAAATTTGTTGAAATACCTGATTTCATCAAAAAAATGTTTGGCTGTAAAGAAAATCTTATGAAAAACGTTGTATACGATTTTCAATCCTTAAGTATAAAAATTTAAAATTTAGGAATTGTTATCAATAAAAATATAACATATTTTCATAAATGCTGGAGCGTTTTTGCTATTTTTGTCAGTCTTTCGCAATTATTAAGAAAACCGTTGAAAAATGTGTAAAATGACATTTCTTATTAGACAACTTCAGTGGTTGTAATAGTCGGAGTAATCCATCGGATCGAAATCGTCTACACGGAAACGAAAAAACACACACACACACACATTATGGTAAAACCAATACATTTCATGTTTCATTCAGAATCTAAATTATAATCCTAAAACTCATCATGTTTATTACGACAGTAGTCAGTAAACATTATACGTTGTAATACTACATGATTATTAAAGCGATTAAAAACGTTTAAACACTTTTCTAACATATACCAATACACGTGTAAATCGCAGTTACAATATTACCAAAATGTATGTAAGAGAATATTATACAATTTCAAGATTCCACGAATCACATTTTGACGAATTTAAACAAATTAAACTATAATTTAGAGTAGGAGTGGCCAACCCAAATGATCTTGCGGGCCACTTTGGAAATACATTACGAACCCGCGGGCCACATATAAAATTATATTTTTATTTTGCTCCAATACAAAAAAATTTAAAGTAAACATTTTAAATAGGATTAAATTATTATTATAAAATAAGTTTTGGTGTATTAATTATTTGAAAAAAAAAACAGAATGAATTATTATTGTTTTTATAACCGTATTCTGAATCTAATTTTTTCCAGAACTCTTTAAATTGTCGATGCGGAAGCACATGTGATCGAATGTAATTCACTGTTTTTATGACTACTAGAATAACATGGTTCATCGACAATACTTGGGAACAAAGATTTTGTTGATAAATCAAACAGTTTGTTGCGATTATGTTGCTAATAATACGGCGTTCACGTTGTGCGAGCATTCCAGAAAGTTCTATTGGGACGAATTTTTTTTTTTTAAATGTTTGATAATCTCACAGTCCGCAAACATTCCAAGGTGGGCCACATGCGGCTCGCAGCCCGCGGGTTGGCCATGCCTGATTTAGAGTGAACAATTGAAATCTAATACATACGTCGTATATGACCACCTACTTATAAATAATCTTCATATGGCCTCTAAAATAAATTCAAGAACGTGCATTTAACAAAACTTATCGAGTATGGTAACATGAATCGATTTCGGTCGTATCGATTGTTCTCTGAAATTTATTCCATCGGTAACGATTACATTCGATTTGATTCACATTCGGTAGAATAATCCATACTTGACCTTAGCAAATTTCAACTATGTGTATAATATATATTACATCGATGTACCGCTGCAGAGCAAATTCTATTAAAAGATATTGACCACGACTAAAAGAAAATATGTCTTTGTAAAATAATAATCCAAACGTAATACTGCATAACATTATAATACGTTCCGGCTGAAAAAAAGAGAAACAGTGCAACGGAAAATTATTGCGCCACTTTTGTCAACATGTGTGCGATTTCAAGTCGCACGCAATATCGTATAATCAATTGATTTTGGTGCAAGAGAGTTAAGGAAAGCTTAGGTGTCCACCACTCTGTCATTCTCTCTCAGAGCTCTCTTAAGCTCTTCTTAAGAAATATACGAGCGAATGAAAGACGAAACTCCACCTTCCGCCCAATATATTTGTTCGTCAAACCTTTTGGACACAATCCCTACGCAATCTAGTATCCTATTCACGTGCAGGGTTAAGCAGCGGAAAAATAAGCAGCTTCCTACAGGGTGCCGATTTTTTGGTGATGACATAATGTAGACGTGTCGATATATATATATATATATATATATATATATATAATACAACATATAATATATGTGGTGCGTGAGTGCAGGCAGAAAAAAAACCGTATGGGTCTTCATACGAAATCGCAACATCGGTTGACTACGTTCGGCTGCAAAACATAAATAATAATCCTGATTCGGCAGACGGTCGATTACAACGTGCAGTTCTCGGTACACGTTGATTAATGCGACATACACTTCAAAGTGAATACCTGGGAATAGCTAAGACGCTAACACGAAATCCTGGAATGAATTACATAAACGACTGCACAAATATCACGTGCGCTCATCAACGTGGATTAGTTAATCGACGACAAAATCTCCATCCCTTCAGATGACTGATAGAGAAAACGTTTAATTCGTCGACTCGTAAGCGTGCGCTGACGCGAAACGTTGCACTGACATCGGAACGAGAAAAAACGTCAAATATCTGTCAAATCACTGAGACGCCCTCGGTGTTTGTCGTGTAAGCTTTACGTCACAATCGTGGGTCCCAGGCTCTAGCGACGTCTGATGACATTGCACAGAACGACGAAAGGGCATCGTCGCGATCTACACTCCGATCATCGGTCAAATACGTCGATCGGATAGATCTACGGGGTACACCGTAACCTTATTCGCGATGCCGTCAGAGTTCCGTACACCCTAGGGCACCCCGTGTCCTAACCTAACACACACACACACACATATACGTGACCAACCTGTTGATGTCCTCGTAGGAGTGTTGCGTGACCACGCACAGGACGCCGACGAGGTTGATGAACAGCACCGGAACCATGTAGGCGGTGAAGTACGGGTAATAGAGATCGGGATACTTCTGCGGTATGTTGACGACGGTGTGCACGAGCTTGAAGACGATGAGCAGCGAGAAGACGAGCACGGCGTACGCGCTCGGGGACAGCCACCAGCGGCGCGGGTACCGGCACCGGAGCAACATGCGCCCGGTCATGTTCAGCACTTGGACGGACCGCGGTAACCGGACCAGCACCAGCGACACGACGATGGGACTGATGATCGAGTGCGTCAGCAGCATGCCGAACACGCTGCAGTAGTTGTCCTTGGAGCAGTCAAGCCCTTGCCGCTGTGCCAGGGTCTTGCCCAGGTAGAAGCACATCCGGACGAACGTCCACGTCTGCAGCGTCAGCTGCGCCATCCACAGCACCAGGCCGCTCTTGCTCACGCCGAAGCATCCGTCTGGCACTGAGTACGCGGCCGATTATTACGTGTCGACGTACACCGGATGTTCGGTACGATATTTAACGCCGTATCCGTCGGAGAGACGATCCATCGGTCGGCGGTAAATATCGCGATCTCGGTGTGTCGATCGATAACAGTTCCGAAAACCCCGTGGCCGTGTACGGCGGCCATACGGGACCACTATCCGGTGTCCGCGCAACGGCAGCGACGCGCAGACAACAAAACTAACAGTTTTTCAACACTAAAAAGACTAAAAACAAAATTTCGTTCGATAATGACTGAAGATAAGCGGTCCAATTTGATTTCAATAAACGCTCGTAGAGAAAAGAATACTTATAATTACATAGATAACATTTTAGATACTTTTGTCAAGGCTAAAAATAGTAGAGTTTACTATGTGTATTTTTTTTTTTAAAGTTTTTGTCTGGGGACTTGCCCCCCCCCAATATAGTCCCTGGAGCCGCGCCTGCCTTAGGTAAACATACTTTCGCAATAGGCGGATGGGCTATTATTACAACCGTCGCTCGCCGTCCCTAACCGTCATAAAACACCACTCGGGTAATGGGAGTCGGTCTGTTGGTCCACAGGCGAGTTGACATTTTTCACTTGACTGCACGACGTACCGGAATGCGCTTTTATATATTCTCTAAATCCCAAAACTTTCATTTGTTAACGTAAGACCGTAGAACGTACAACCTTAAACCGTCTCGTATGGGATATCTTTATATGCATTAAGTGGGCTGGATACAAAAATATGTGTTCTGCATCATTGCTCATAAATGTTCAATCCGCCTCTGGACCCAAGCGAGTACAGCAGCTACACTTTTATTCAATAGCCAATTCCAATCGGTGCCCTTCCCATTCTCTATAAACGGAAATTATAAAACGAGTAGGCGACATGGGAACGCTGAAGACTCTCGGTGTGTCGAAAAATGTGCACACTCTTATATTTTATTACAATAAACAACAGCGGCATAATATCACACAGTCTTAAAACTACTTTTTGCACGAAAACATAGAACGTTTTTCCAATTACGAAACACAATTTTTTCTTTAAAAATACATTTGATTTGAACAATATCAGTCGAAATACGGACCCCTCACTCTTAGACTAAAAATTTTAGGGCCCCGTTTACAATATTTCGGACGGGGTGCCCGGGCAAACCCGATAGCCCCCGTGCGCTACGGTTGTGCCGGTACTCGCGTAACATCATACGATATCCACAAATATGTACGCGTCCGTATAATACCGTATCGGTATAATGATACTCGACGTGAAAGGCCAAATTTCCAAAACTACCGTACGTTCACAAATGTTCTTATGATTTCGCTGCCGCCCGCCCGTCTTATTAATTTCAATAACTCATGATAACGCGCACTCGTCGCTCGACGCGGTAACAGTTATCATTACCTATATTTCTATCCAATAACTTATGCACGTCATGTTCTCACCATTTTCGTGTTTCCTCCCAATGAAATGTACCGTATTCTTGTACGGGATCGTTCTACTGTTTGCATAGCTGATGGGCAAAATGCCGAACAGCTTACACGCGTAGTAGACGGGAAATATTGTGGCCAAGGGACTTCTCCATCGAATCGGCGGTATGTTCATTGTACGGCGGCAGTTGGCTCGGCACTGCTATACGGTACGCGTTAACACTTTTCCGAGTAGAAAAAAAAATCACCGATTTTTGGGTTCCCGAGGGAAAAAAAAAAACTTTAAACGTATATTAATTTTTGTTGTTGTTGCACGTCCATTCAAATGTATCACACAAAGAGGGTTCCGTTTTATAGCGTTTTTGTGTTCCAATCGGTTTCTACGACACGTTGACACGAAATGTATTTTAATAAAAAGAAATAATATTATGACTAACCTCGACCAAACCCACCCTTACCTATCACTTAGTATTCTCGTATTAACATTGTATTAAAAAATAAACATAAACCTAACGATAAAATACACGTTTACCGTGAATAGATAATGCCGTAGAAAATTACTGTGTGGAACGGTAAAATGGATATTGTTTCCTTCAAGAAAATAGTTCAAATATTTACCAGATAAACATTAAAAAAATATAAATATCCTATTATATTTTTTTATTTTCCATAGTTGTTTAAATAAAATGTTATTAATCCTATGCAATAAATACTTTTTCAAACTGTACTGTCACGGGAAAAAATTTAGTATCTATAAATTAATAAAAAAAAACAAATAGTTTATACGTGGAAATAACTAAATAAATAAACACTTAGTCTGAAGTATTACCAACTACATGTGTAAAGTGCGACCGGTTTTGAATTAAAAATTCATCGTGAGGTATATACAAAGTCAATAAAATCGCGACACTATTGAGTCACGGTTTTATTGACTTTGTGTATACCTGACAATGAATTTTTAATTCGAAACCAGTCATACTTTACAAATGTAATAACACTCCAGGCCAAACATTTATGCATTTATTTATTTATGCATATACACTATTTGCTTATTTATTTAATAACTTTTAATTTTTTCTAAAATTTTACTATTTAAGTATATACCATATGAAAATCAAATAAACAAATTCCATCATCATTCTGTTCCCGATTTCGCCATAATTCCTATAAGTTATGTCACGCCCAGCTCAAACTAGAGACAACTGCAATCAATATGCCAATACATTGGGGGGTTAATACATTTAGATAATAACTATTCTTATTATTACCTATTTATTTACTAACTGGGATTTTGGCAATTGGGGGAAGATTTGAACCCCGAAAACCCCCCTTACCTATGCCATTTGTTTAATGTCCGATTAGTTTTTTGTTGTATAATAAATTATGAAGAATCCATAATACTTATTACTTTTTTAAGCTTTTAGATAGAGCATAAAAATATAGATTTTTTTACCGTGGTTTATTAATATTATAAACCATAATATTTTACAAAATAATGAGAAATTCATAATAAGTCAAATTTTAAATAGTCGTGACACTTTTCTATTTTTCTATTTTCCAAGTGAGCAAATGTTATCTGACCATGAGGTAATATGTTTGCCATTTTTAAGATATTATATAATTAGTAAAATAATCACAAATGGTATAGAATCTTAATCTAATCAGACAAAAATGGCATAGTAATTGTTTTTAACGTGAAAGTTGTATTTTTTATTTACAAAAACACAGCAGAGTTTCGATAACTCGAATTTTTTTTTGTCCCTATGAAATTCCAATACACTCAATGCAATATTTGTCGCGATAAGTCTAATATAAAAATGGTTGAGCATACATAACTCGAAGTCATTTATTAAATTTTATGGTTAGAATAACCAGTTTACAATCATTAATGTACAAATGAGACTATCACTATGTACTATTTTGCAGTAAAATAATCGTCAGTTGCCGTATATCTTCGTTGTGTAGTGTGTACAATTTGTAGATATGTCTCTTAAACGTAAAATGGTTACATTAACAATTTCTGAAAAAGTGAACATAATAAGTGAGGTGACAAAAAATGGTAAACAAAAAAATGAGATTGCTAAGCAATTTAATATTCCACCGAGTACACTTTCAACTATTCTGAAAAATAAAGACGATATTTTACGAAAGTACAAAATTAATAAAGGGTCCATGAAAAGAATGAAGATTTCTGAGTATCCCGATATAGAAATTAGTTAACTCAATTGGTTTATTCAATGTAGAGATTTAAACATTCCAATAAATGGACCAATTTTAAAGGAGAAGACTGAATTGTTTGCTACTAAACTCGGCCACAATCAATTTAAAGCTAGTCAAGGTTGGTTAAGCAACTGGAAAAATAGGAATAACGTCGTTTTTCGTAAAATATGTGGTAAGAACGCTGCAGTTAACCAATCAATATGTTGTGACTGGTTAGTAAAATACCTATCAATTATAAATCAATATTCTCCTGATGACGTTTATAATGTTAATGAAACAGGTTTATTTTATAAATGTTTACTGAGTCAAACATTTGTTTTAAAAAAAAGAGAATTGTGCAGGAGGAAAAAACAGTAAAGAAATAGTTACAATACTTTTAGGTTCAAATATGACTGGTACAAATAAAATTAAACCACTATTAATTGGAAAATCGGCAAAACCTAGGTGTTTCCAAGGTATTAAAACATTTCCATTAGATTATGAATAAAATAAAAAAGCGTGGATGACGAGTGTATTGTTTGAAAAATGGCTGTCTAATTTTGATAAAAAAATGAGTTTAAAAGGGAAAAAAGTACTCCTCTTAATTGACAATTATACTGCTCATAATACAAAAAAGAAATTCAATTCTATTAGAGTAGAATTTCTTCCACCAAATACGACTTCACAACTTCAGCCAATGGACCAAGGTATAATACAAAACTTTAAAATCTTAAATCGTAAAGAGTTATTCGCAAAATGGTTAACAATATCAATGAAGGTAGATCTTTTTTGATAAATTTGTTACAAACTATGCGAATGTGTTTTAGAGCATAGCAAAATGTCGAGAAAAATACAATTGTTAATTGTTTTATTAAATCTGGAATTTTAACTAAAGAAAAAGAAATCAAATATACTCATGTAGAAAACGACGATGGAGGTTCCGATTGGAAAGTTATTGTAGATCACTATAATTTAGAACCATAAATTACATTTTATACATTTACTAAAATAAACACTAATATACATACAACTAGAATATTAAGTGATCAAGATTTTGTAGACACAGTGCTACCGACTCCTAAATCTGACTCAGACGAAGACGAAGAGGATAAATATCCATTAATTGTCTCTACAATAGAAGCGAAGGCGTCACTTGATAAAGTAAGAGTGTTCATTGAAAAAACTGAAGGTGCAAATGAAATACTTTTCAATTACTTGGGGGATATTGAAGACTTTATTTAAAACAACCTAAATGTCAAACTCTTATTTCAAGTTATTTTTGTAAATTGTAAAAATTATACAAAAATATTTTGTGTTTTAAAATGTAATCTTTTAATACATTTTTAATTAATTAATACATTTTGTATAGTAAATGATTTTTAAAATTTAATTTTTTAATTATAATTGTAGTTTATAAATATACATAATATTTCTAATAAAAGCAAATTAAATAAAAAAAATAATGTCTAACTTAAATTTTTTCATATTTTTAAAAAATTCGAGTTATGAAACTCGAAAAATATATAAGTCGAATTAATTTTTATCTCCCTTGAAATTCGAGTTATTGAGACTTGACTGTATTAAAAAACATTTAAACTGTCTTATTTTTATGAAAATTAACTATTTCATAAATATTAAATAATACAATTTAACTAAAAATTTCAAACTATTAAATCATAAAATAATAATTAATGTAAGACTTTAATCCTAAATCAGTCATAAAATGTAAATACTTTTTAGTTACTATAGTTGAGGAAAGGCCTAGGAGATTACCAAGAGTATTAATTTTTCAATAAATTTCATTGACAGGTATCAAACAGAACATAATTTAAAGTTAACAGTTATTTATTAAAAAATATAAGAAAATTAAAAATTAATCAATAATATTACCATTTATGAAAAATAAAACAAAAATCTAGTTTAATAAGTTATTACTGGAATTTGAACAGTGAAGATTAAAATTTTTTTACATTTCTACGATGCTAAATTTTTCCCAGTACCGGTCCATTGTTCTTTGAAGCTAACATCCAATCCAAGGTCTCGTAAGGCACTTTTAGCTTCAAATTCACAATCTTTATGCTGCTTTATTATTTTTTCAATTATACTTTCAATATTAAGTGCCAGAAATTCTGATGCTAGTTCACGAGTCCTTGATACTATATTTCGTACAGCAGCACAAGCATGTTTCTGCAATATGTATACAAATACATTATTGTATTAAAGTAAATGTGTATTATTTAAAAACATAATTTTATTTAGAACAGCATATTGATGTGTAAAATGTTAATAAATATAGCTATCATATACACCTAACGAGAAGATTTATAATACAAGCCTGTAGAAAAATTAAAATCAACCCTTTCAACAAAAATAAACAAACTATAAAACTAAAATTAATCCAGTATTGGTAAACTCAATAATTGTTTTCAATTTTAATTTTACAAACATAAAATTAAATTGAAGAAAAAATAATTATATGTAGACATTTCTGAATCAGTATATAATAACTGTGGAATTCCCCAGGTGTCCAATGAAAAATAATAATCTTCATTAATTAATATTCCATTTTAAATTCAATATTATTTAATAATATTTATCAATATTATACCTGATGTTTGGGATCGTTTGAATGCACTTGCATTGCTTGCACAATTAGTTCAGCAATGCCTAATTGAATCAATTCAGCACTGTTTTGAGGAGATCTTAAAGTTAATGCTGTTATCAACTTCATTGAGTCCATGCAAAGCATTTTGCTATTCTTTAAAAGTATACAACTTTAGAATAATTAAGTGCATTGTCATTAAGCTATATACTGATTTTCAACAAAATAATTAACTTACTATATGCCTTTGCATAGCTGATAGTATGAGTGGACAAAATCCAACTTTTCTAATATCATCTTTTACTATATCATCTCCAGCTAATGATTTCAGAAGTCTAAATGCTTGACAATTCAATCTCTATCATTAGTTATAAAAATTTCATAACATAATTAATAAAAAAATTTAAAAAAAAAAAATGATATTATAGTTGTAATCATAGACATATTAATATTCATAATATGTCTATGGTTGTAATATACCAATGTGCAATGACGTTCCATAGCTATTTTTACCCTTGATAAGCCACCACTTTCATTAAATTTACGACAAAATTCAAAACGAACAATAATTGTTGCTAATGTAAAAAATATTTCACTAGTCACTTCTTCAAGTTCAATTATTTGACTGTCTGAAACGAAATAGATACTTTCTTTAAAATATAATTTTAAAAAATTAAATGCAATAACAATTTTATACATTCATAAAAGTTCTTCTATAATCTATTTGTTTAATTAATTCATGATAAAGTTGAAAATTGTTAATCACTAAACATTTTGAAATTATTACATCATTTTTATAAATTACTAAAACTAAAATTGTTTTTTGAGATACCACTGAAAGTATGATTAAAGTATAACTCAAGTATCTATCCCAGTAGTAAATCACAAAACATATATATTTTCCCATTGCAGAAATATTTTATTTTAATAATTAAACTTATGGTTTTGTATGATAAAATTATTTCTAAAATAATGTTTAGTAATACTTATATATTAACAGTAGTATATTATAATAATTATAACTGTATGTATTTATTTTTCATATTTTTTTTTTTTTTAGTAGCATTATAGACCATTTAGGTCCTTTGACTTTTACACATAAATATATATTATAATTAAAACTCAAAGACTATTGACGAATTCCAACTTACCATTTAATAATGTAAGTAATGGTTCTAATAGTTCACAACCCATAAGCTTAGACCGTTCACCAGCATTAGAAAAATCACCGCTACAATTATCTTCACGTAATTGTGCTCTAACCAATTGACAAACCCCAATGATCACAACTTCATTTGAAGAATTTGATTCCAAGATTTTTTTCATAATTTCAGTTATACCAATAATTTTCAGTTCCTGAAATCATATTATTTTAGTAAAAGCAACAAATGATAAATTTGAATTCATAAAAAAATACAATCTATTGAAAAAATTACTACACCATAGAAGAAATACACTTATTTATTAATTTGATTGTAAATGTTTTTTAATACCTCTCTTTCATCTTCAAGTTCACTAATAGTTTTAAACCAAGATAATGAAGCTAGTAATACTTTTTCATCTTCAGTACTTTTTAATAGTTCAACCATAATGTCTAATGCTTTACCATACACAACTTGTCCTCCTGGAACATTATTATTATTTATAAACTTTGTTGTGTGAAGAACTTATGACTTAGAATAATTATAAGTATTCAACATTTTTATCACTTGATTACATCCTAATCTCTAATTTAACCTTTTTTTACTTACCAAACAATAAAAAAGAAATATAGACACATAAGCAATACATTAATCACCAAAATTTAATGAAAATTATTGTTATAATCAGGGCTCATAACTTATAGTATTTACATATTTTTTTAGAGGTCCTAGAAATACCTATGTGAACTATACATTTGTTTTAGGTAACTAAAAAGTTAAATACAAAATTTTATGTTGCATATTTCAAAGTATAAGTGCTACTTTACTTTTTTTTTCTATTTTTCAGACTTAATCTTGCATATTTAGAAAATTGTTATTTGCTATTTTGCTTTTTTAAGTCTTTTTCAGTTTTGTAGCATTTAAAACATTTTTTCTTAATAATAACAAGTAATTATAGTAATATTAATTTTTAAATTTGTAATTTATTCATGTTAATTAACTAATTGTTCTTCTTTTGGATTAAATTATATATTTATTTGTATCATATAGCGACGCAATCAGAATTTTAATAATAAAATATTAAATTTTTTTTATTATACATGATATGTTTTTTTTAATAATAAATGAGAATTGTTTATTTTTCATGTTATATTTATTTTTGCATATTTTTGTATTTTTAATACATATTTAAGTGCTTATATGAATATTTTTAAGAGCATATTATAAAGCTTATAACTACTTTTTTTAGAGTTAAAAGTTATGAGCCCTGGTTATAATATAAATATATATATATTTAAGCAAAAAATAATGTCAATATTCAATAATAGCATACAATTTTATTCTGTCAAATTATATTTCACATTGTTTTCATTATATCTATTAGTAACAATTTCAACATAATTGCCATAATTCCTGATGAAGTCATCATATCAATATCAAAATTTTTACAAGCATTACTTAGTTTATTTTCATTTAAAAATTATGTTCATAAAAAATTAAAATATTCTACATACTCCTTAACATGCTAGATTAATTACAAGTATTAACCTATTCTAACCGTAACTTATAAGTATAAAATATAAAAAACATACATAGATATATTTTTTTTATTACCTCCAAGGAGTGAATCAAATGACTTAATAAATTGTACTTTTTGATCAGCATCAAATTCAGTAAGTCTCTCTAGGTATCCACATATGATGTTGTAAGCATCACTCAGCTTACATAAAGTGCGGCCTTCTTTAGTTTTGCATTCACTTTCAACAATTTTAAGGTATTGAACAATTTGTTCTTTTTGGGTATCATCCCACACTGGAATCACAAAATATGTTTTTAATTGATACAAGGCCGATGGCAACGGATCACTAGCTGACTCAAGTTTGATTTTTATTCCTGATAAGTCCGTTCCCTGAAAGAGACAATGATTGAGTTCGTTTTCAGTCACCATAACTTAACTGAAACTTACCATTTGCTGAAACTGACTAATAGTGTCTTTCAATGCATCAGAATAGTTCATGTCCAATAAATCCATGGTTTCGCTAACAGCTTCGTCGAATACTCTTTGGTCCATCATAAACTTGTCGCGCGCAAATCAAACGAAAGTATACCGTATTGCTAATTCGTTAATTTTTAATGGAAATTTAAAACGAAAAATTGAAAAACAACAACCAATATCGATAACAATGATGCTTGTGATAATAATTTAGGTATCTGTGGGAACGATAACATAACTTATTAGTAATATATCTATCAAATAAGTACCGTGGGATATAGACATGGCAATAAAATAAACAAAAAAAAAAAAAAGGATAAATTGATATCTATACACATGATAAGTACTTATCGCTTTCACTGATAAAAGAGTGTCCATAATAATTATGTATATAATACTATAATTGTTCAACATACGTACGCTAAGTTTGAATAGTTGAAATTGTATATTTTTGCAAAAATATTAAATTACATGATTACAATTCTAAGGTCAAAAATATAATAAAAAATGTATATAAATTAAATTCAAGATTGAAGATTAATTAGATCAATAATAAATAGACAACGTTTAATCTTGAGGATCATTATTTCGTTCAGTATTCGAATAAGAATATGTCTATTGAGATTTTCAAGGTACAAAATTATTTATTCCTTCTGATTACCGGCGAAGCAACCAACATGTAAATTTAATTACTTATTGAACTTGGATTAATTAACACACAAATAAATTGAAGAGCAAAAACCGTTCGAAACAACGTTTACAAATTTATGTAATATTCTAAAATATTCTATAATCTATATATTCTATTCAATTATGAGATTATGTGTTGGGTGTAACATTTAAAATTACAATATCACATAAGACATATATTGTATAGGTGAAGTTGGTTCGTGGACGTTTCGTCGCAGTCTATTATTAAGATAGGACATTTGGTCCCTGTTTAGGTTAGGTTATTACGTTCTAAATTAATTCAAAAAAATAATATAGGTAAGTAAACTAACAAGGTAACAATTTTACAAACACCTTTTTACCATTATGACACATCGATAGATATTTATCTTAATCGAAGGTCTTTTTATCGACTGATGATATTGCTCGATTATTATTTATATGTCAGACAGTGGAAAAATGTTATTAACTTTTTCTATTTGTACTGTAAAGATAAAATAACAGTGGCGCACAGCAAGAGGGGAGGGGTTATAACCCCCAAAAAAAAATTTCTCCGATGTCTAGGTTAAAATTTACCAATTTTACAAGTTTGAAAGAATGAAGAGCTTGAATACCTAATATCATTGATTATAGAATAGTCTATTCTATTAACAATACTATTATTTAAGTTAAAATATATTAAGGATTTGCATAATTTTATTAATTGTAAAATGTGTTATTAATTAAAATTAATTTTTATACAATTAAATATTTTAAGTGTGAGATTAAAAATTAAAATTAAAAAGGGATCCCCGGCTCCCGGAGGGAAATTGATTTGGGTCAATCCAAAAAAAAATCCAGGTTCTGAAAAAAAATATAAAAATAAATGAATTAAAATTTGAATATTTTGAAACAAATTTAGATTGGTAAATTTAAATAGATGTTTACCTGGCTCCTGAAGAATCCTTTGTTTAACTTCAAACAAAAAAAAAAATCCAAATTCTGTAAATAAAAATAAAAATCAATACAATTGAACACAACTCAAAAAAAATTGGGAAAAAACCAAAAGATACCTTTCATAAAAATAGACAAATATGTTCAATACCAATTATAGACGAATCCATCAAATAAATATCTAAAACAAATAACAAAAAAAAAGCCAAAGAATAAAACAAACCTATAACATACAGTAAAACACATATCTCTATTTTGTAGCAAAAATTTAATTGTGTTCAATAAAATGTATGAAACAACAAGAAAAAAGAAATCAATCATTAACTCTCTTAAAAATTAACAACAAATATATGTAACACCATAAAAAAAACAATCCATTAAACAAATACCTAATGCAAATCACAAACAAAAATTAAAAAACAAAAAACTGACAAATTTCAAACAGCATAAATCACACGATATAAAGAGCAATCCATAAAACAAATACCAATCAAAAATCAACAAATAAAAAACAGACCTACATCAAATAATTAAAACAGTTCCCTAACTCGAAGCAAAAAAAGTTGAACAGCTGATCATCCCTAACTATAGACAACAAAACAAGAGCTCGGGACCCCGGGTTCGCTAAGACCCGTAAACACATAAGAACGTGTTCCCCTGGGGGACAACAAATACCTATAAAATTCACAAAAAAAAGGCAGAAGAACAACACAGACCAGCATAAGAGTAAAAACAGTTCCCTAATTCGAAGCAAAAACAGTTGAACAGCTGATTATCCCTAACTATAGACAACAAAACAAGAGCTCAGGACCCCGGGTTCGCTAAGACCCGTAAACACGTAAGAACGTGTTCCCCTGGGGGACAAAAAATACCTATAAAATTCACAAAAAAGGCAGAAGAACAAGATAGACCAACATAATAGTAAAAATAGTTCCCTAACTCGAAGCAAAAACAGTTGAACAGCTGATCATCCCTAACTATGGACAACAAAACAAGAGCTCGAGACCCCGGGTATTGTTAGATATATAATAGTATTTTTTAATTTACTGAAAAGCGTATGAAATTCCTCTTCAGATAGCCAATGCTATTATTTCGTGAGCCCATAAACGGTTTTTAACCAAATTTACTTTATTGTAAATTAAAGCAGCATTTTCAGCCAGCAACATTTTTCTGAACGTCATCTTGGTCGAGGATCGAATAAACAAATGAAAAATGCACGAACACGCACGACTAAAAATGCAGAAACGCATGTAAAATCGTTAAAGTGTCCCAATCAAAATCGCTTGAGAACATCGCGCGTGTAAAATCGTAGAAACGCTCGAAACGCAGAATCGCTTCCAGTGGTAGCTTTAGGTGGCCGTGAAATTTTAAACAAAAAACGGCGGTAACGGTGACAGTGCAACCGCTCCGAGGGAACGGATCGGACGCACTGCGCGCGCGAGATAACGCGTTTTTTTTTTTTCGCTGTAATCACGGTTCACCAGTCAGGTCAGGTTAGTCGCGTTCACTTGCAACAGATATCGTCCCCACCACCGCCTTGCCTTGCGTAGGTGCCCACTCGCAACAATAATACTAATAATAATAATAATACGTCGTGTCTATTGTATACGATCGCCGTCGTGTCGCACGTCAAACGTTCACAGCGATCGTCGCGTCCGTGATAATTGCATCGATTGCCCTCCTCCCCTACCGTGCACACGCGCGCCCGCACACATCCTCATCGTCCGCCGTACATCGCACGCGCTCGCCGCTGCTTGTTACACGTTGTCTGACCGTCGGCCGGGAAGTGAATAACGTAAGAAAAAAAAAAAAAATTAAAATAATAATCGTCGAACGAAAATCAAATAAACGTACAAGTTGTGCAGACCACTCGTCGCCGTTCGACCCGATCCGGCGCGTCTCGCCTTCACACGGTGCACCGCCGTTCGACGGTTCCGTACGCGTGTGACTACGCCGTGTTCGCACGCGCGCCCGCCGTTATCCTATTCTCGCCGGACGCGTTCCTCCGCGAGTGCCCCGCCGTCGATACACCGCATTCCACGCCCGTGCGGAACCGCCATGGCCAAGAAGACGTACGATCTGCTGTTCAAACTGTTGCTGATCGGCGACTCGGGCGTGGGCAAGACGTGCATCCTGTTCCGGTTCTCGGACGACGCGTTCACCACTACGTTCATCTCCACCATCGGTGAGTAATATTTAATCGGTCGGTTACGGTCCGCACGCTGTCCCTACCCGAGGTGTTGATGAACCGTCGACGATGTGGCTGGGTTTTTCTTTTTTAATTTTTTTTTATTCACGAGACAAAGGATGTTGCGTCTAATCGTTTTCATCTGTTTAACCAGACCGATAATGACGCATCCCATTGGTTTTCGTCCCTGCCTACCAATATCTGCAATGCCAGGAAATTAACGCTTTTTATCGTGTCTGTATTTAAGCTCGGAATAGATAAAAAAAACTAATCGTGTTCTACGTATCCGGTGTCCAAATGCTGCCTTCAGCCTCAATCAATAGTTTAGCCAACACTTTTTTTTTTTTATATTTCCACTGTTTTCCTTATCTGAACAAAAGAAAATCTATTTTCTTTTGTTCACATTCTGTCTCAATATTATGTACGCTATGCATAATATTTTTCATTGAATCGAGATGACTACTGATATCATTATTGCTATTGCTTTTAGCTGTATTCGACAATTTCTAAAAAAAACTTTTTGGTTTCCTAAAGCATCGGCTTCAAATGAAATTTGTTGGCTATTTCATAGAATTGAATTAATGATTTTAAAAAACTGTTTATTAATCAATATGCACATTAGAGCCTCCCACTTAATATATTTTACTGTAATTTCAACTATTTTGCTTACAAATATCTTAATGCAATATTAGGTAATCGACAAAAGCTAAATAATATGCTATATTATAAATATATTTTTTCTCTAATAGTTTTCTACTCGAGTATCTACATTGTTTATTTCATACATGCACACAGATCACGACCTTCAATTCTGTATGAAGTTCATGAGGGAAAGGAATTAAGCATAAATGGTTGCTAATATATAAATTTCTAAACTAAATACCTATTTAGCTTATTTTTTAAATTATTTTACTGTTGTGAGCATTTTCCTATCGTGTTACTTATACATTAGGAACTTTTTCTTTTCTGCTTTTTTCTTTTTTTTTTGTCTTTTGGAACTTGAAGTATACTCTTCTTAATTTAAAAGTTCAATAATATTTTATATTTATCAATTTTAAGACAGATTAAACAATAAATAATTTGCATGCATTTTAAATATATTACAGGTGTCAAATATAACTTAAAATTAATCTTAAAGCAATGTCGTTTCAGAATTGTTTGTTTCAAAATCAATTATCTTTGTTTTACTATTGAGCCATATAATTTATTTGTATTAGAACAGTAATGTTATAAGTTATTATAATGTTTTATTTTATTTTTTCATCAATAATTAATACTCAAATTAATAGTTATAAAAAAAAAAAATTTAAAAATTGATTCCTGTGTAGGGTTAATATTTAATTTTATAAAAAGTGATAAAATTTAACACATGTAGGTAACTGATATTACTTTTATATAAATAGGTGTAAAGTAATTCTGTCTTTATGTTTGATTATTATTGTTGTTGTAATCCTAAGATTAGTCTTGTGGACTATATGTATCTTGTTGGCAGTGATGGTGCTAGAGTTTGCGTTAGTTTGGTGTTAGAGCCCCTGGGCAAAATAAACGTTGGGTCTTACAATTTATATTTATAAAATATTTTAAGTTCAGTTAAATCAGAACCGCGGGGCCTTAATTATAATTTTGATGCGAGGCCCTGGGCAATTATTCCTATTGCCCACCCCCTCACGCCGTCCCTGCTTGTTGGGCATAACAATCGATGAACATAGGCATAACTAGGGTTTTATATTTCGGGGAGATAGATTTTTTTTTCTGTGTTTAGTAAATTACTCTTACTTTTTAATTTGTATTTGAATCTATTGTGTAAGGATTAAATATATATTTAGGGAATAGAAAAGTTTTTGGAGACTAAGCTCTTCCTTAAACCTTACATAATTGCGCCTATGTCCAGGGTTGGACTAGCTTTATAGCTCGGCCCGGGCAAAATAATTTCGAACGGCCTCAATGGAACTTTATAAGTAGGTAGGTACCTGATCAAATTATTGTTTAGCTGAAAATGTATCTTCGTAACTCAAAAAACAATATTCACACAAGTACATCTGAATATTTTCAGATTTAATGTTATACCTTAAATAAATCTAGTTTACGCATAATGTATCTTATCTATAATATTGATATAATGACCTACCTATTAAGATAAATTTTATACCATAAAAAATGATTTGATTTAAATATGTTCATACATTTAATTTTAATTGAGTTAGAACAGTGGGGTCGGCAACTAATGTCTCTTTTATGCGGCCCACAGTAAATTTCAAAACTAGCAAATGTCATTGAATATCATATACATTTTTTATATTGTCTGGCTCTAGAACCATTTTTAATTTGTGAATGTGGCCCAAAGGTCCATTAAGATTGGAAACTAGTAACAGACTTGTTATTGACTAAACGTCAAAACTATTAAAATGTTTTTGAATAAAAGTAATGAATCTAATAAAAATTATTACTATCGAAAAAACAATTTCGTTAACGCATATCTTGCTTGACAATGTCTACCCATACCATGGTCTTAGAAAATTAATCTTCTAAGACCATAACCCATACCAACATTTTATTTTAATAATTGTTTGAACAAACGCGAACGGTACTTCGTATGATTAACATATTGTACAAATCTTTTGTATTCAAATTTCCTACAATTTTTCTATTTATAAATATTCTGATGATATTATTGTTATCAATTGCCCTATCGCGACATTAAAAATGTTAAATTTTCAAATTCTGAGTTACCTAATCCTGTGTCACCGCATCCATTAGTAATGTCATGTTACAAGACGATATTTTTTATTTTATTTTATGAATAGAAGATAGACACATTAAATTAAAAACAAAAAAATCTAAGTAATTTTATTTAACCAAAATTACAGCAGCTCATCGGGGCATGCCCCGGTGCTCTGGTGGTCTAGTCCAACCCTGCCTATGTCAATAAGTATTGTTTATTATGCTATATATAATTTCTTTAAAAATCCAAAATAGCAATATCCTTATTTTAATGACAAGTTTTAACATTCTGTTAAACATATCTGTGAAGCTTTTTTTTAGTATTGAAATTTTAGCATCTAAGAGACTAAACCATTATATCTTGATTTATTTTTAAAATTAAATTTCACATTAGGTGTGGGAACATAGTTTGTTGAATTGTTTAACACTATGATGGTTACCTATTAAATGATATTATTAAATACAAACTTATTTAAATGGATATTTTGTTGAAAATTAAAATTTATTGTTGTAGATACTATTAAAATATTGTTTATTGTTCTAAGGTAACCACAATAATTTTCACATCATTTTCAGAATTTCAGCCCAATGAGAACAAGATATTTAATACTTCTATTATATAATGGTACAGAAATAATTAATATTGCCTATATTCTATGTTTGTATATATCATATCAAGTTTTATTTTGAAATAATAAATTGCGACATTGACAAGTTGAGTAATAATAACTTTGCAAAGAAATTTGATATATTGTATATTGTAAGTATTTCTATAGCTTTTAAATTATATACCAATCATATATTTTATTTTTACTAGATTCCTTTATCATCAATAGTAGACAGATTAATAAAATATTCATAAGCATGCACAGAGCATCTTAGTAGAATAAGTAAAAACATTTGTTAAATATTAGTAAAGTACTATGGTTCATTGTATTGCTTGTACTTATTATTGTACTGTATAATTTCAATATTATTCTTATCAAATTTTGAACCTGGAATTATTAATGATATACATAATTTATTTCATTATTATAGTTTTCCGAACCGTTTTAAATTGAAAACCTAAATATTGCAACTCTTATTGTAACTTGATAAAAAAGTTTAGTAATATTTACCTAAAACTTCATATAAGGATTTTAAATTATATCTAGACTATAGTTTAATATAAATATAACAAAACATTTTAAAACTCAAGTGGTATGCTTACATTTTTGTGTTTGTTTAATATTATAATATTTTAATATGGTTTCTGAATGTTTATTAAATGTTGTTTTATGTGATACTTCATGAAAAACGGCTTCAAAATAAGTAGTTTGTTCTGTGCTTTTATACATTTTTATTTAAATTTCTTTGGCTATTTTTGTTTAAAATATTATTATTTAATTTAGTATTCAATATTTAATTACTTAACTAAATGTGTTATCTCAATTAATATTCATATCTTATAATTAATAGGTCTAGATTTAAATTTTATAAGAAATCATCTGATTTACGTCAATAGGTAATTTTACCTGTTGTTATTTTATCTATACTTTTTACATGAAATTGACTCACAACAACAGTAAAATCAATTTAAAGTCGATAGTATATACAATCTATCAGTTAAAAGTAATTATATATTAATTGGTTTTTATTAAATACCCACTGTAGTGTATACTATCTTAAACATAATAAATATCAGACATAATATATACATCAGAATTCCATTTAATCAAAATCACTGCTAAGAATATTAAGTAATTGACAATGAAAACTAAAAAATAAAATTGTAACTATTGTAATAACATTAGTATTAAGATACTGCATTAACCTTTTTTATATCATTGTTGCTTGGGTAATGCATTAAAATTACATTTTCATGATTGGTCATAAATAATTACTTATTGTTCTTAAAACAAACACTTATTATATATATTTCAAAGCTAATAAAAATAGCTTTGAGTCATTTCTATTGTATATTTTCTTGTTTAATTTATCTTTACAAATGTGATGTGCTGTAATTAAAAATAAGTATTCTCAAAAGTACTTTTTCCTTATATTTTGTCTCTGATGTTAATTTTCAAAGTTAACTAATAATATAGATATATTGCACTCATTCCAAACATGCATAATCTTATCTACATTTATTTAATTATCCAAATAACTAATGTATCAAGACAGTATTGATATGCCGCCTACGTTAAAATTCTTAAAAACAATTTAATGTTATATACATACTGTTCTTATATTTTCTTTAAGTTAAATGTGTTATCTATTATTTCTTGAGTTCTAATAATGTTTATGGAAATCACACATATGGAAATAATAAAAAGCATTTAAATTCTAAAATGTTGTCCCAATAATGCGTGACTGAACTACCAGAAGACTTCCAAAAGTTTTTAATTATTTATGTTTCAAAAAAACGCCTTGGATTTATATTTATATTTGAACATGTAGTATAATTATATAATTTTTCAAATAAAAAAATGAATGAAACTTAAAATTATTTAGTAATAAGATGTTTGAGATTCTAAAAATGTATTGTATATTAATTGACAAATGAGTATAATTGATGATTGAAAAAAATATAAATTACAGGTATATAATGATTAATTTACAACATTTTGTTTCTAGGTATTGACTTCAAAATTAAAACCGTAGAACTGCAAGGAAAAAAAATAAAACTTCAAATTTGGTAAGGATTCAATTAATGTTATAATAAAAACTTATAAAACTTTGTTTAAAAATGGGTTTTTACTATGGTTTTCCTTTGTCTACTTATATCTCATGGGTATGTGATATATATATATATGTATAAATGTGTATATTATTTTACTTAGAATGTCATATGAGTGATAAACAAGTTTATGTATTATTATCTAAATTATGTTAACTTTATTCTTTACATTACACACGTGTTGTGAAATCTTCTATTATCCTTTTATATAGTTTTTTTCATTATTTTATCTTAACTTTGCTTAAATTATTATCAGGGATACAGCTGGCCAGGAACGATTCCATACCATAACAACATCCTATTACAGAGGAGCTATGGGAATCATGTTAGTGTACGATATTACAAATGAAAAGAGTTTTGAGAATATAGTGAAATGGCTTAGAAATATCAATGAAGTGAGTTATTAAACAAAAATAATATTTATATTATGTATGTTTGTATGTATAGGTATTTGTATTATCTGTATAGTTCTGGTCATGTTAGCTAGCATAGCGTTAAAAAATATATGTGCTATGATATCTTTGTATAATATAATTTCTTTTGTTCATTGTTAATTTATATGACTATCTGTTCAAAATCATCTAAATGTAAAGATAAATAAAAACCCAATTCTGAATTATTTTGCCTATGTGTTCAAATCTTTTTTTTTCATTACAATTTTGACAAGCAGACCAATTTTTTTGTTGCTTAACAATAAAACATTTTTAGTTATTTTGTTGCAATATAACTAAGACCATTTTTAATATCAACTTTAGATTACTTAAATATTCAATCTACATTATAAACATTCATTAAGCTATACATATTATATTCTTAAAAATAAAAAAATGCTATTTTTATTTATACTCAACTTTGCATTGATGGTTAGTAATTATTGTAATTTTTTTTTTAGCATGCCAATGAAGATGTAGAAAAAATGATTTTAGGAAACAAATTTGATGTGGACGATAAACGTGTTGTAAGTAAAGCAAGAGGTGAAGGCATCGCTCGTGAACATGGTATTTCTTTTTTGGAAACATCAGCGAAAGCTAATATTAATATCGAAAAAGCATTTACTGATCTTACATTATCAATATTAAACAAAACGACCGGGCGTGAACCTACAGATGTACCTGAAAAGATAAATATTGATAGAACATCAGACAGATTGTCTAACCGCTGTTGTTGAGTAACAAATATAAATTCCGACAAATTCTAATGGATACTATTATTACTGACAGATTTTTGAAACACCAAGATGAACAGTTTTGCTAAGCTCTTTGATACTAGTACACGTGTAATATTATATATAAATCAATTATTATGGATATATACCTTAAAGCATTTTCATTTGACAAGACCAATTAAGAAATTATATTCTATTTAATGCTTGGCAAAATTGTAGTCTGTGAAGCTGTTCCTTATCATACAAATAAATGTAAATATTTATGTTACCATTAATAATAATAATAATAATAATTGTTTATATGAAAAATGAGATAATCATGACCCCATCATAATTATCCAATAAAATAATGCTGTTGATGATAGTGGCTTTAACCACAAAAAAATGTATTGGTTGTCCTTAGGTGGAAGTAATTTATTATTTTATTATAATTTTTTTTTTTTTATATATATATAAAACAATAAAATACACTATCAAATTAAAACATTTTACTGAGTGAGCTAATTCTTATAGGGTTGTAATAAATTATAAGCTTTTTACTTATAAGCTCAAAGTGTTCACAATTGGCTGTAAAAAAGAAATTGTCAAATTTACTTTACTAAGTACTAATATATAATTATTTTTATACAAATAATATTATTTTATAAATTAAATACAATCGGCCTAACACTGTTATTTTTTATTCATTTTGGCTTATAGAATTATTTTTTTTTTTTTTTTATATATAAAATATTTTATCACTTTCTTCATTATTATTTTTTTATTGTTAATTTATTGTTCATGGATAAAAAAATGGTAAAAAAAAATATGCATTACAAAAACTATTAATCATTTTATTGCTTCTTGTTATGTTGTAAAAATACAACATGTTTTGTGTTAATTAATAACAGTTTTATTTCACTTAATGCCTTTTTTTTTTTGGGTTTTAACAAGATACTTATGTCTTATATTGTTTTAATTCTATAATAAATGTTTTTAATACTCTTTTAGATTGAATTTATTATTTTAGTGTAAAAAATAAACAAGTTTTATTTGAGGAATAAAGCTCAACATTAAAGTATTATTAATATAAGTAAAACTGTTGAAATGTGTACAAAAACAAATTAATTCTCTATGGCCCACAAAATTTAGGCTGACCTACTCTCTTTTGTTTTTACACTTTCCGGAAGGGAAAAAAACAGAATGATATGCACAAATATTCGTGTTATATGTCTTCCAACCATGTGTTTATAACATGTTGTTTATGTCCTGATTTTGGTGAAGTGTTACTGTGACTATAGTATATTTTTGTATTCTTGAAAATAATTTTTTGCATGTCTGTGATCATAACATTCATCCAACATAAACGCGAACACGATTGTGTTATATCAAGTAGAAATGAAAAATTTATAACAACAACGCATCGGTTAAAATGTACATATGAGTAATACACGATGGTATACGTATTTTGATTATAAACAATCAATTGGAAAATGATGGACATGCCTAAGTTTTCATTATTTATTGTTCTTAAAGTTTAAGCATTACCGTGAAAAATTATTAATGAAATTGTAAACAAACAGGTGTACTCTGTAATAAGTTTACTCCAAAGGCGGAACTTCAGGATTGTCTATGAAATTTTTAACTACGTTTCTATTTGTCGGTTCATTAGTTATGTTCCAAAACTCCACTTGCCTTTTTTGGTCCAGTACTTCGTCCGTCAATTTGGACCCACTAAAACGAAACAACACAGTAAGTAGTTAAACATGGATGTTGATCCTTTTTGAGTACAAACTACTGTATACCGCACTTGGTTTTACATAGAAGAGGATTAAATTATTAAAGCTTAATCGAAAAATAATATCAATACGCGATGTGCTGTATGTCCCGTGTTTTTTCCCAGGACAGCGGTTCTCAAATTAAACAAAAAAATTTAATCGCGCTTCCCAGGAATAAATATAACAAATTTTTTCATTATTCCAATACAAGCGTATAAATAATTGTCACGCGCCTTACAGTTTGAGAACCGCTGCCTTTGACTGTTTTTAAATAAGTAATCGGTAACCATACCTTTCTTCGCGAACATCTTGATCCTTCACGCGTTGTTTTTTAACAGGACTGATAATTTGTTTTACCTGTAAAATAAATTGCACGCACAAATCAATCGGTGTATACCTATATATATATATATATACACGCATGGGCGTAGCTAGGATTTGAATCAGAGGGAAAGGGGGGGGCAAAATAAAACACATTTTTATTTTTACAAGTATATATATATTATAATTTTTACGTAATAACAATGTCAATCGTCTTGGATCTTCGTAAAATCTGCTTAGAATTTTCTGTTGCAGCTCCTCTTTTTTTTCATCAAGCAGTTTAAACTATTTTTAGACTTATATCTTATATAATTTTTGATTTTAATGTAAGACTTATACGTTTGGTATAAACAAATATAATTATGTTCGAGGCGCAGTGGGGGAGTGCCCCCCTGCCCCCCCCTTCGCTACGCCTATACACACGTATTTAGAAACGACTGCGCGTAACAAATAAAATATACAGTATATAGCGTACATCGCCAAGAGGTAACCTACTTTAGGCATGGTTATTTCCAATCGTTTTGAACCGATCAACCGTTTCGCACTGGATTCGTCCACTTTAACTTCTTCGTCCAGCACTAATTGCAGTATCTTTTTCCGCATAGTGACTCGCACGTACGTGGGTTGTACATCTACGTCTAACTCTTCGGTGTCCATGAATCTAAAACGAAAACGACGACGTCCATAGGCGGATATTTGGTCACATCCGTGGGGGTTTAAAATTTTTGTCTTATCCATTAGCATAAACAGACATTTTTAGACACTTCAACCAACCAACTAGTAGCTACTCCTACTTAATTCTAGTTGAGGCACAAAATATATAGGTACAGATAATAGGAATATAAAAATAGAAAATAGCTACTAATTTTTTTTTTAATTTGATTTGTATAAATCTATTCCTTTACACACTACAAAATATGGTTTTCCTCAATAACTATGGTCAGTAAGTGGACGTATCCGAGTTGGATCCCAGATAATATGATAAATACATTTAATAATTTAGAAGTTGTTTCCGCAAAAAGTGATCAGACTATAGGTGTTATATGACGTTTGGCACCTACGACACTACGTAACCGTTTTATTTCATATCGACATATGGTTGCACTATTTGTAGCCTTTGTGTGCGAAATATGTACGTCGCCGAGTGGGTAAGATGGAATTGCACTTGGATTAAAAAAATATAGCAATAGTCAAACTGCACGAGGTCCACGAAAAATTTGAAAAACATACTTGATTTTAAAGTATCATTTATATCCAATGGTTTTTGAAGAAGAAAAATCTACAGATATTGTATTTTTAAAGGCTAATTGTTCGAATCAAAATATATTAGAAAATCGTATCTTTTAAGTAATTTTTATTCTATTTTTTTTTTTTTTAATTGAGACCATTTGCTACACCTGCCGTCTCACAGGTAACACAGCACTCTTCGAGAGGATTGGACTGTTGTAACCTTGATACTGTTGCAGGTAGGCTAGTTTTTTGCATGAAAACCTAAAACAGCTTGACTAAATGATCACTAATCGTCCTAATATATTCCGATTAATCGTTGAATTACAATATCTTTAGATTTATTTTAAAGGTGAATATATCATATTTTATACCAAAAGGCAGTTTTACTAATTAAATAACTATAAGAAATTCAATCCAACAATTTTTATTAAAATATGTTGTCTTATGTAGCTGAAATTCGTTATAGTTTCATCACGCTACTACAGGAGTACAAATCCTCAGTATCTTTCTGGTGTTCTCCCCCCCGGTTTTCTCCACCCCCCCCCCCCCCCGCTCTTATAAAGCCTTGTTAGGACCACTACATTTTAATCACAGAAATATTCGCAAATATGCTAAAATTATTATTAAAAAAAAAGGCCATTACTTATAGACCTCAACGGTCAGTATATATCTGTTCTGTTCATCGTCCAGTTTGTATGGCACTTTTGCTTGGTTCAAGTTATACGGACGACCGGTGTCGGTAAACAGTTTGGGCGTCCACGTTTCTTTTTTTGGCGTTTTTTTCGCTTCATCTTGTTTGCGTTGAGCACGTCTACTGTGCATCGCCATTTCCACACGACACTCCGGAGTATTTTCACTAGGCTGATTCCAAAAACTAAACATTTCAAGAAACAGTTTACCTGTTATCAAATATATGAAAATTATTGTTTTTATGATAAACACTTAGACACGAGTAGTCGAATAGTTTGTGATTCTGGTAAACATTTACAACCACTTGTACACATTATTAATAAAATATTTAAATTCCGATAAGATTTTTTTAACCAAGAATTCAGTAATTATTTTCTTACTGTTTCTGTAATAATAAACTGAAAAAAAAGTAATTGATTCTATTTTGATTGTTGGTATTATATTTTTGAAAGCGTTTCTATTATTAATACTTTTTAGAAATAGATTATAGTAATGTGTTAAATACTATAAATTAAAATAATTTATACAAACATATAATTTTTAATATGCTTACTCTTCATCTGATTTATCATCATAAGGTTCATCAGTTTCCAAAATGTTTTCTGTAATTTTTAAAGATTTCGAAGAATTTTTTTTTTCCCTTTTCGATTCTATAATATAAATATTAAAATTAAAATCTAATGTCTTATTTGCAAGTATTGATACAGTGATATTAAAACATTTACTTTCGTATGCATTTTGTTGAACGATAATTTTACGTTTGACAGTGGACAACTGTTGTTTGGCAACTAATTTATCACGATGAGTCACTTCTACTCCGTCAAGTACATTAATCTGAGGTAAAGTACCAATAACAAATTCACGATATCCATCATAATCAGTACAAGGATTCCCAGTAAGAAATCTAAACATTTAGAAAACAACATATTAAGGTATATATAGGTTGAAATAAAAAGTAAGATAAATAACCCAATTATTAATTCATACAGTTATATAACATTGTTGAATCTAATTTTCTATATGCATTATGTATACTTATATATTAATTTCAGCAGTTATATGAACAAAAAATTATTTTTATAAAACAGTTATAATTGTATTTTGGCTGTTGTTAATGCTTTGCAGGACACCAGTGACGTATACAGACAATATTTTCGGGAGGGGCTACTATGGACAGAGTTAAATTACCACTGCTATCTAAGAATTAATAACAAGACACAGTAGGTACTTATCTACATTTAATTTGCAAAATGTCTCAAAACTATTTGACGTAGGTCACAAATTCTAAATAAGCATAAAGCACCATTAAAATATAACAAACGTTTAAAATTATTTTTAAGTTTTTTAAAACATTTTGGAGGGCTGTAGTCCACTAGCCCCCCCCCCCCCTATCAGTGGCATATCCAGGATTCATTTAACGGAGGTCATAGACGCACATTGTGTGTGAATTCAGGGGGTGCTGGAATAATTTAAAATACACAGATCCGTGGAGGGCTTTGCCCCCCACACTCCCCTAATACTATAATCAACTGCGTTGCCATAATTTTTAATTTTTATTAATGAATATTTAAAAGTAATTATATTATAAGTTATAATAATATGTTATTATTAATAATATATTAAACAAGAATTAATTTCCTGTTTGATGATGCAAATTTTTCCAATATAATTTTCCCATCTATTTTATTGGTAAGATCTCTCTCAATGCTAAGCGTAGATAGTTTAATAAATCTTTCTTGGCCTATATTAGTGCGTATCCAATTTTTAAATCCACGCATAGCTGAAAAAGAGCGTTCACACGTTGAAGAAGAAATTGGAATTGTCATTACCACTTGAACTAATTTATAAACATTTGGAAACCAACTTTTATTACATTGATTTTTCAAGTCTTCAAATTCAAAGTTGGCTGGTAGACTATTCTTTAAGACCAGCATTTCTACTGATAAACTAACTGTTGATATATTCAAAATAACCTGATATATCAAAAATATGAACTAGTATATAAAATGTAAATAGTAATGAATCATATCGTTTGTATGATTGGTAATAATATTTGTCATTCCGCATACAATTCTGCGTAGCCCACTGGTTAAATATTACTAAAAACTAAGTAATTATCAAAGTTATAAATAAAACATAACTTCGTAGCCAACCGTAAACCGTAGGTAATATAAAAATATAAAGTAAGATAATATGATTTTCCATAATATTTTGATTGCTGTTTATAGTTTAATAGTTAGACAAAAACTGAAACAGTAAAACGTGCAATTATACAATACTGTTTTAATCGTGTATTCGACAATTACATTATATATTATTGTTTATAGTGGAAAAAAAATGTCCAACCCAATAAACCACAATAATTTACAATTTATTGATGAAATACTGAAATAGGTAAATATTCTAGGAAATTGGAGGTGCTAAGCACCCCCGAGCACCTCCTTATGTGCGCCTTTGACGGGGGTGTTTTAAAATTTTTAGACTTATGGTAAGTGGGAAACTTTGCCCTCCTCCTATATTACATAAATAAATACCATGTACTCGTATTAATATAAATTATTATACTAATGAAAATGATTAAGACAGTGTATGTAAAATCGACAAGTTGTAAACAAGGTTTATTCAAATTATACTGTAAGTTAGTAATTTGATAAAATACCATAGAATATGGTCGATGGGGGGTATTCTAACACCCATATCACCCCTCCTAAAAACGCCCTTACCCCCTTTATACGCCACTGCAGGACACTGCATTATTTCATAATTTTATATATTATTTTATTTAACGGAAATATTCTTCGTTAACATAGACTTTAAACGAAGTAGGCTTGAGAAATAAGAACCTTTAAAATGTACTTACTTGAATAGTAAGGTACTTAAATAAAAATAAAACATTTTACAGAAAATAAACTCTTCGATTTAACTTCTGATGTTTACTAGGTAAATACTTTGCTTATTTATATAATATTTTTTATTTTTACAATAAGTATACATATTATGTGTAGAGCTCGGTATAACTACGTCATAATGTCGTATTTATTAGGTACACTTCGATATTTATGGTGTCGGGTCTAGGAAATTTTACGCCCAGAGTTAATAAAAATACATCGCTCTTATATACATAGGTGGAAGTACGGAATATGTTTATGACTTTTTTTTTATTTTTCATAAACTTAAGATCACTCTTAAACAAACAGTACATGAGGGCAAACATACCCACTACCCCCCCTAAATCCGGCGTAACCTATATATTAGGAATTGGAATTTAAACGAATAGATACCTACTAAATGTACAATCATTAAATAGCTTCAATCAATAACCTGGTTTGTTTTGAATACAAGATAAATAAATAAATTATTTATAATTAGCCGTTCAAACATAAATATATTGAAAATATGTATCATACAGAATAAATATATAATTACTATGTGTAGGCCTACTAATAGTTTATTGATAGATAGTCATGTTCATGTTTCTGTATTCCGAGGAGTGTGTTCTTATCTATTATAATTCATTGCAAGTTAAAAAAAGTTATGCACTGTATTAGTGTATTACTGTATCTACTGTATATACTGTATATATATTTGATTGATTCTAAATTTACTAAAATATAGTGTTATATTTGAAATTATCGACCATTAAATTGGACTCATGCTAATTATGCTAATACTACGTGAAATTATATAAGGTAAATTTCCTGAGATCATGCCGAGTTTAAAAATGGAGCATATGCTTAAAAACAAAAATACAGGTTATTACATATAACATACATATACAAGTTATTACCGTTACGCGAATAATAGTATATTTAAAATGTGCAAATGAAGACAAAGAATAAAAAAAAACAAATGGAATACTTTAAAAGTATACAAAAATATAAATAGTCATGTTGAATATAGAATGTCAAATACTTAATTTCATTCAGAATTTAATTTTTTCTTACATTAGCCTATTTAATAATGGTAGTTGTATGATAGCTAATTAACCATAAGCGCAATTTTGGGGGCCTAGTCCCTGTATTTTTTTTTTTAATAATTAATCCATAACCTAATAAATAACTAATATAATATTAAAATAATAAACTAGGTAATAAAAAAATAAATAATTATGGGATATTGTAGCCAACTCAATTATCAGAATACCAATATGATAATAAATAAATAAGTATTATATTTGTATTGCACGACTGGTTAGTATTATTAATATTAATAAAACAAAAATAATATTGACCAGTCATGCGTTACAAATTTAATAATACTCCAGGCTTAGTATTTAATTATTTCTATATTATTTTATGAGAATTAACCATTTACTAATTTTTGTTTTATTTAATTACTTAATTAGATAATAAATAATTAATTTCTATGGATAATTGTTGAGTTGTTTACAGTAATATAATTTGGGAGAGAGGGACTGGCAGAATAGGAATTTTCCGTCCCTTTTGCCATTAGTGAACCTGATATGGGCTGGTGTTGGGATAGTTTTGGGTCGCAAGTTTGCAAACATAATTCATGTAATTTCTAAATAAAATTTAATCATGAAACTTGGCTTGTGCTAATAAGTAAATAATTTAAAATAATAGCTAACATGTTTTAATTTATGAAAACTAGAAGATACCCTGTTATTGCTTAGCATCTAAGTAACTCTTGTAACGCATAAATTACTAATAAACATTTAATAATTTATTATATATTTTGTTTTATTTTTTGTAAACTAATTTATGCCTATTTGGCATAAATAGGACATACATTGGGGTGCAATTTCCCTCAAACTACTTATATATATATATCTTCATATATTATCTAATAAGTAATATATTTATATATCCCTCTACATATGTATTTATAAGTAGTCATATAGTTATAGTCATTGCTGCCTCTCAAAAAAATGGGTTATATATGTCAATGATAGTAAGTATAAAATAATTTATGAAGACTATTTGTATTGGGATAAAAATTTAATTGTAATAAAATGTAATATAATTGTTAGCGAGCCGTTTTTTTCTTTAGTTTTATATTTTATATGGGCTGGTCAAAATGTTTGCTTCCCTCTCTCAAAAACTGAAATTGTTGTTTATTGTACTTCATATAACAAGTAGGTATTTGGTTTTTGTTGTTGAGTATCAAATGTAATGTTCATGTGTTAATAATATCACAACCATAAAAATGACTAATGGTGCGGGGGTGCAACCCCTGCAAGTCTGTTCTACTTCTATAATTTAAGCTCTTGTTAATAATTGTTCAAATTACGCTTATATAATTAACACCAACAGAATAACTCAGAATATAATTTAACATACAAAATATGTGGCACTATGTCCCTAGTAATAATTGAATGCTATCCAGTGATGGGTGATCGTGTTCATAAATTGAAGGCTGGGCAGGAATAACGTGCTATGTAACTACATTTCGGAATTCATTGTTTTTGCAGAATACCGTTCTATGAAGAAAATTATTTATAAATATTTTTTTTTTGAGTATTATGTTATTTATCTTATTCTTATCACACATAACCATGAATTATAAACACCATAAGTGTATACATGTAAATACTCAATGGTTAAGATAACCATAAGGGCACATGGGGCACGACCCCAAGATCCTAGAACTAATAGGGTTCCCGACCGACGGAAGCTCCAAAAAATGTAATTTACAATTGCATAAAATATTGGTTTAACCTATCTTAACTAATTATTTCTACTGTCAGACTTAAATAAAACTCAAAACAAAATGTAAACGCTATAAATATAACGATTATTTCTACAGCGATAAATTTGATTAATAACAATTTATCGACGTACAGTGACAGGCGGCTACAATGTTTAACTTTTTCAGACAGGAGTCAATTTTCCCTCTATGTTCTTCCGGTAGACAATTTTATTGGTATCAACCATTCAAAATTACTTAAAATATGCTTTGGAATAACTTGAATTATAAGGTTGATACTAATACAAGTATTACCACATAGATTATAGACTATTTAATTGAAATCAACTCAACGACAATGTTCATTATTTAAATAATTAAGCTTGGGTGGATATATAAGTACATTTAATATACTAGGTACTTTTTGTTTTCAATTTAAGCTGTAGTATGTTCTTAATTTAAGGTGATTATTTTAAAAAAAAAATAGGCAAGTATTTAAAGAACCCAATTGAAATTGTTGTGCTCGGTAGGGGGTGAATGGAAGATAAAAGTTGTCAACACTATATTTTTAATGACATACCTATTGCCAGGTGTATATACGAGTATATAGATAGTAAGTTATTCTAGTGTTCTATACAATAATTATTTACGAATAGCAAGCATGCGATTTAATTTTGTCGCGTACCATACAATTACATTCCATAATTATGTCTAAAGTCGCGTTAATCGGTTCACTCTTGATGATTATTTTGGATGAATCATAGAAAGTGAAACATTAAAAATTAAAAATATCTGTTTACATGATTCACTATAGGTGATCACACTTTTCATTGTGTAATGAGTTATTATCATTATTTTTATATCATTATTTATTAGTGTATATTATTATTTTTTATTTTAATAATATTACAATATATATTATTATAGTCAATAGATGATAGTATTTAGTCAACTAAAATTGAGTCTAATGCAGTTGTAAGTGAAGAAACTGTAATTGTGTTCCACAGACATTTCCGATCTTTCATTAAACTTAATATTATTGGAGTATGATTATCTTTACATTTAAAAACCATTGTACTTATAAATTATATAAATTAATATAAATATTAAATTCTTAATATTTAATATAAAATATAAAATATAAAAATTTAAATATTTAATTCCAGTCACATATAAATATTGTTTTTAACGTTACGATTGACAAATGCTGTTGGGTAGGTATTTTTATTTTTTAATCACGCGTAATTTTGTTTTCAATAAATTATATATTTGATTCAAAATTATTTTAATAAGTAATTTTTATACATAAAATATGTATCAGTTTGTGTACACACTAGAGTCTACACGTAGGTACATTAATTTTAAACCGCTTCGCTTTTATCAATTCTTGATAGCAATGTCATTAGTGCACAAAACGGTGCTCAGCGCACGTCGTGGGTCTTCTAATTACTGGTAATGTATAAATTACTATATTTATCAAGGCCAATTATTATTAATTTCCCTATCTACATCGTCACCTTACCAACATCATTATGAATTCTAATAATTATAAATCTACGAGTCCAAATTATAAGAATAAAAAGACAGCAAATAAAACGATACCATGGTTAATAATACCAAAATCATTATTAAATCAAATGGGAACTAACTCCCCCTCAGATCTCTCAGGAAATGAAAACGACTGGCAAACAGACCCACCTGAGTCAACCGAACACATTCCAAATCGCAACCTCTCCACTTTAGAAAAAATACACAAATATTTTTATCTCCTCAAATCGTTTCTCTTCTATAGTTCTTCCTGATGATGATTCACAAAGAGTTACAGATATTAATGTCGCGGTGGTCTGCATTCAGCAAATTACAAAGGTTACTCAGTTCATAAAGACCACAACAAAACACGTTAACTCCAATCATCAAACCCTGGCGTAAATATACCTCAAATTTCCAAGAGCCACTCATTTCACCCAATCTCCAAAAATCAAACCGAGCTGAATTCCCTCCTTACCACAAATCAATGTCGAACACACGAATAACCCGCATAAAAAAACCCCTCTCATTCAAACTGCCTCAAGTAATATACATAATCAACTTACCTCTATTATGAATGGATTTAAATTATTAATCAATCCAATAACATCACTTCAGTCATCGTTATAAATTATAAATACTAATAGCCATAGGCGTGCGCAGACTTTGACCGCAGGGGGGGCCTCTTAAAAAAAGTAAACCAAAGATTCTTGTACTAAAGACTACTAGTATTATTAAATATTTTAAATTTTATAAATTATTTATTTAATTCAATATGCAGTTATAAAAATAAATACTATTTAAACTTACACAATTTACATCTAAAAAATCCTTATTTACATAATATGTAAATAATATTATTATTATACTATTTACAACTTCATCCTTCTATCCACGGGAGTAAGATTTTTGAATGTATCAATTAAATCTTAAATTTTTATATTATATGCAAGTTCTGATTAGTCTGATTAATAACTAATAACTTTATTACATTTATTCGCAGATATCAATTCTATACTATAAGATTAAAACTAGCTTTACTTTATTCATGTAAAATGTAAAAATGTTCGCTATCTTGTATAGTATAGTTAAACATTTATTAAAGAAAAAGCCAGAGTTCACAGGGGGAGCCGCGGCCCATTTGGCCATCCCCATGTGCACGCCTATGCTAATAGCCGTAAATAAATTATCCTCTCCAACCATTATCCTATGGAATGCTAACGGAATCTTCAATTTTACAAATTAATTTCAAATCGTCCTAAAAGAAAAATATGTAGCTATCTCATTACCGAAATGCATCTCACCACCAACTCAAAATTTAAAATATTCAGTTACCTAATGTTATATAAAAACTTACTTTAACCTAAATGGTCCTATGGAACTCTTGGGGTTCAGTCAAACCATCTAACACCAGAACCATCCAAGCTTTTCAAGCCATCTTCTTACACTTGACTGTCAACGCCCCTGGGTACATTATCAATGTCAGTCTCCACAATGAGCTGAAAATCGCTACTATCAATCAAACAGCTGCTATATTTTACATTCGCCTCCACTCTAAAATGCATTTTGGCCATGACCGATCACCCCAGTAACATTATCGCTCACAAGCCAGGATTAAGGGTGGAGGGCAGAGAGGGCCATAACCCCAGGCACACAACGAATATCAAACAATAGTGGGCACCTGGGAGATAGTAGGTTTCTTTTAGTTTTTTTTTAACTATTTTTTTAACTCGTATAAAAAACAAGTATAGAAGGAGCAGTTATCAAGACAATTTAAATAATTTTGTGATTTTGTGTTCAGAAAGTGATGTTTTGGAGGTAATTAATACCTATAGTATAATTAAAGGGTTTGCTCTTCCCAAAAAGCAATAAAAAATTATCTATACAAATAATATATTTTGTACTTAAAAAAGCAAGAAATAAATTTATAAATTAGAATATAAATTTTTTTTTATCTCTGAAATATATTAATGTGTGGGTCACCAATATTTTGATTATGGTTGTGGGCCCCTAAAATTGTTTGGTCCCGGAGGCCAAATTATCATAATACGGGTTTGATTGCTCAATTCTATTCCAACCATCTTCCAGTATACCTACCAAATAAGACGCCACAATCGCAAATGACCTAGAGATCTACTATCTATCTATCTTTGAAGCTTACATTTTAAGCAAATCACTCAAGTTCAGGCATTTCAAATGTGAAGTGTCTTCAAGTCTTTCGCCGTTTTTTTTAACTATACAGCTAAATATTTTACTTATTTTGCACCCTAGTACAGATTGTAAATAAATTATCATAATAAACGATAAAAAAAAAAAAAATTATAAGTGTAAATATGCGTTGCCTCTATGCAGTTATACTTTTTGTTAGAAAAGTACTGAAACAATGATTATTATTAATTGGTATCTATATATAATCCACGCTCATTCCACATTGGTCCATTTAATCAACTTCTTGGTTGACAATATTGGCATTTAATACTAATGAATACCATTTAAAAATAATTAATTTAAAATTAAATTGCATATGTTAAAAATTTAAATGACTTGCTATGCGTATATGCGTATATTATACAGAAGGTTGAATATACGAGTATATGTCTACCTACACAGTAATTAATAAATATCAATTAGTTTGGTATTTTTATCCAAAAAAGTTGTAGTTTTCCTGTATTGTAATTACTATAATCAATCATTAGATTATTAAATAGTCACTTACAACGTTGTTAAATGTATATTGTGTTTCAACGATTCGATACTTGTGAGTTCTCCAATAAAATTCATGGTTAAATCTAATTTGTTCAAAGATTCACAACGGTCCAAATTTTCTATTTTTTCAATGCAATTTAATGCCAAATTCAAATATTCCAACTGTTTTAATTTGTTCAAGTTTTCTGAAATTAAATATACATATAATACATATATAAATATTTGAAAATTACAAATGCAATATTTTACCAATCAGTAATTAAATACAAAATTATAAGAATTTTTTTTTTTAAGTCATTCGTGATACTAACCTATATTATAGATCGTATATATTAAATCTGTGTCTATAATAAATATTATAACTTTAACAACTAAATGTGACCGGTAGTAATTGGTACATAGGTTTCCTTTTTTATTGTCACAATTAGAGATGTTCCGAGTACCCAACAATTATTCGATATAATAATTATGACTCGGCCTTTAGCCGGTATTTGGTATAATATTGACATTTTTACTCCGCTAATATTCAGTACCCGGCTTATTATCAATTTTTTATACCAGGAACATATATATTTACAATGTCTTATTATATTATATTTTTCTAGTCAGAACGATACAACGAAAAAAATAATTTTAATAAAAAATATTTTTTTTTTATTTTTACAAAAGAAAAAATATCTGCGTAAAGAAAACAGAACAGTTAAAACGGATTACTATTACACAGAAATAATGACTTATGAAAAATAATTTTTTTTAATGCTGATCTTGTGGTATTAAAACACATTAGGTTTGTATATCCATGTTGATACATCGTTCGCCCTAAATCAAATACAAAATAGTAATTTTTATAAATAGAAAGATGTAACAAATTTATTTTTTTATTTTTTTGAGCACCCCCTGTTAAAATTATCTAAATCAGCGCCTGACTACCCGTATTGTAGCCTCTATTTTTCATAAAAATTCATTCTACTCATTTTTTAACGTACAATAATATGATACAAATCTCCTCTCTAACCACTCACCCCACTTCCTTATGATTTTAATTTTTAGTACAATGTCTATGTGTCGGTATAATTTTTTTACCAATTTATTCGATTGAAGAAAAAATAACTTACCTTTAAAAATAATTAGGTAGGTTGGTAATGCAACTTTTGCGTTCATTAACTATAATGTGAACACTATAGATTAGGGTTACCATATTTAGCTAGGGTATCGTCGAGACGTTCTTCTAATTCTAGGATGGAATGTATAAAAATACTCAATTTTCTAATAAAAATTATAATTCTTTTTTTTTTAGATTTATTTATTTAGGTTTCACTAAATAAAAAGTATTTTGAATTTATTACAGAATACAAGTAATACTTGTAAATAACCATATTTTTCAGAAGATTTTGCTTTTTTCGACAACTATTGGTTCCCTTTAACATATTTGTAAGACTCTGCGCAAGTCATGTTATAATTAACTTGAATCCATAATTTCTGGGAGCAGGTGATTTCTTTCATCAGTCATTAACGAAAACACTCTTACCCATCCATTAAGTTATAGAAGTTTAAAAACCTAATTTTTTATTTTCGATCAGATATTCATAAGTAATAAAACAAAATGTGCAAAATTTCCAATGAACCGTTTCAATCGGGATAGTCTTTTATTGGAACGTAGAGCTCAATACGGTGACAATCCCGATATATCGGGACGGATGACAACCCTATTATAGATGTTATCTATGAAATGGATTCAAAATAAAATCGTACAACTCGTTAAAATAGATATTAATTTATGTTATTAATAAAGTGCGTATTTGTATACATTTGCATATTTATTCTGGTTTATCATATGATATGCTAAGTGAGCACAAAATTTGTTTCATAACATAACAATTTAAAAAATGAAACTTTTTTAGAGCATATTTTTGCATATTTTGACATTTTTATATTTTAAGGGCTTATTTTATAATTTTAATAGCATATTTTATATTTAAGCGCATATTTGGTTGTTTTTTATATTTTTTAAAATTTTTTGAAACGTATAGTATAAGAAAAAAATATTATATTTTTATAGTTTCCATCAATATCAAAATAAATTAATAGGTATATACTTGTAGGCAGTGGCGTACATACGGGGAGGGTTTCCGGGTTCAAACCCCCCCCCAGGGCCAAAAAAAAAAAAGAAAATTGTTTTATTATTGATGACGTGTAATATATTCGTAATTTCATTATTACGCTTTGAACTTAAAATATACAACTATACAAATATTATGATAATTAAATAATTATATTGATAGGTGTTTAGAAAGTTTTGTTAACTATGCTGTTTTTATATTCCAATAGCTATTAATTTACTGTAATGTAAAAGTAAGCTTTTAATTGGTAAAAAAGTTGTATAAAATAATAACTGTTTATAGCAGTTATTTATCTTATTTATCTGTACAACGAAAAAAAAAGATAATGATTATTTTTGTTAACCCCCCCCCCCCTCGAGCAAGATCGAATGTACGCCACTGCTTGTAGGTTTAAACGGTTTTCCCAAAAATAACCTTAGATCAATAATCGGGGAAATAAAATACATATGTATGTATACTAAGATAATAATATAAGATATAAGATTTTTTTGCTAATTTTTTTATTTTTCGTGCATATTTTAACATTTTAGTGCATATATTTATGCATATTTAGGGGTTTTTTAGTGCACATTTGGTTGGTTTTTAATGCACAAAATCCACGCTCTAGTTATTAATCTATTTATTATTATTATTTATTATTAATTAATAGTATGTTATCGACGACGTCGTTATTTCGGAGAAAAATAAATACCAGTACTAAAAATTAACTAGTGATAATATCAGGACAATGTTAATGATGTCGATGAACTTGTTAAATATTATGAATTATATCATATAGTAACTATATTGTAGTTCATTTTCAGTTATATTACTTGGATTAAGAAAAAGTTTTTAGCACCTGGTGCACTCGCACTCCCTATGCACGGTCCTGCCCATGAATTGATTGGATTATAATAATGTAAATTAATTCATACTAATCAGGAAATTCACATTTTATTTTTCTATACAATCAATCAATTAATTAATAATTTTAATTAAATTTTAGTTTTGCATTTATTTGGGCTGTGTACAGAATGCCATGTTTATGAATCATTGACTGCATTATTACATTATAAATATAACATACATTAGTTATGTAATAACTATTAAGTAGCACAATATTTCTACAAAAATTTCTGTTTAAAACCAAATGCCTTTTAAAATGTTTAAACGGAAAAAAACATAGGAGTTCAATTAATTGGCTACTCGATATCAAAATACGGAAATTATTGTTCTAAAAATATAAATTTAAGTTTTCTCACACTCAATTTATTTATTTTATAAATAGGCACACAAATATTATTTTATATTTTACTTCATAAATTCAAATGAATAATATTAATATCTATGACATTACAGTTAAATAAATTATAATGAACCTAAAAATAATTGATTATTAAACTCTGATAGTAATTTCTGTAAAGGATAAAAATATGATTTGAAGGTTAATATAAAAAAAAAAAACATATTTTAGAAAACAAATTTTATTTAAAAATACAATTAATATGTACAATCTCATTATTAAATTACAAAAAATATTTAACTGATCAAAATCAGTATTAATAATAAATAATTTATGGAAAAATAACATTAGTGCCCAAAAATAATATTTATTTTGTTTTGTTTAAGAAATTAATAATTAATTAGATTGAGGTGGACTAAAAGAACATACACAAAACATAATATTTCTTCTTGAAAAAAATAAATGTATAACTGGTGAATTTTTTGTACCAAATGCACGGAGTAAGTATTTATCATTGTCATTGATAATAATTTGATTATGAACATTCATGTCATCTAATGAAAGATCTTCCAACATTTTTGAATAATCCCAGAGCATTATTTTACAGTCATGAGAGCCAGATGCTAAAATAGTACTATCTCGGCTAAAGGTAAGGGTACGAATAGGTTCTTTATGTCCAGTAAGCATAGCTACTAAATGTCCATGGGCAATGTCCCATAAAAGTATATTACAATCATTACCAGCCGATGCTAAGACTCGCCCCTCGTTGGAAAAACATAATGTTAAAATTTCACCTTTATGACCAGTCATCAGTCGTACTTGTTCTCCAGTAACGCAATCCCATAAACGTATAGTTCTATCGCTTGATCCAGTAGCTATATAATTAGAATTAGGGTGAAATTGACAACAATCAACATCAGAAAAATGACCACTAAACAACCTTAATGACTGATAGTTATCTGTTGACCATAATCTTGCAGTACGATCTCTACTAGCAGTTGCAAAATAATAACCATGTAAACTGAACTTAACATCCCATACAGGATGATAACTTCCTTTATAAGCCACAACACAAGACCATAATAGTAAACTCCAAAGTCTAATTGTACAATCTTCAGAACATGACAATAGTAATGTTTTATCAGGACTAAATGAAACTTGGTATACAGCGCCAAAATGTCCAAGTAATGTACGAGTGGTTTCAGCTGATCTATCATCAAGTATTCTATGCATTACATCATCTGCTTCAAGATCAATGTCTAATAATTGATCAGCTGTTTTCATAGCACGTAATTTTTGAGGTACGAGGCTCCATACACGTATTCTGCTATTAGCTAAGCCTACTGCTAACATTGTTGCATCATCACTAATTGTTGCACAATTAACAGCATGAGAACAATTTAATAATGTATAACAACACACAGATGGTAATGTTTCAGGACTTAAGGCCACTCTTTTGGCAGAATCTAAAACTGCTTGAACCTTAATTTTTTTATCAATCTGAAAAATATAAAAATAAGTTAAAATGTTTAAACAGTAAATAATTTCTTAATTTTTTACAATTTTTTGAACTTAAGTACTACTATAAACATATGTAATAATTGTAAATATAATACAACAAATGTACGAGACCCATTATTTTTAATTGAAAATTGATAAATATATAGTTGAAGCAAAATTAAATAATAGTAAATTAAAAATATTCATTGATTTTATTAATTAAATTTATATATTGTAGACTAGATTTTTAGAAATTATAACAAAAAAACAATTGTTCTCAAAAATATATGTAAATATATTAGTTGCCCCAAAAAGATTTACTAATTTAAAGTGATGGAAGTAATGAAGTTTTATTTAAGTCTCTACTACTTAAATTTGGTAAACTTTTATAAAATATAAATAAGTTAATTTTATCAATATAACATAATTTTTTTCAGTATACTTTTATATTGAGATCATATATGGTACAGATTCTTATGAAATTATTTAGATAGGTTATAATTAAATATTATTTCTTTAAATAATGCTTCTTGGTTTCATTTGGAAACAAATATTTAAAAAGAAATATGTTAAATTGAGTTAATTGTTAAATTAATTAATTTACAATCTTCTTAGTCAATAATTTAAAATAACTTTGATAATAAGAAACGGACTTTAAAATTACCTCTCTTAACTGTGGCAATGTCATTCTGTCTATTGGTGGTGCATTGGGATCAATTTTAGTTTTTTTAGATAACAAAGGATTAGTTTTTGATTTTTTTTTTTTTGGTTTTTCACCCTCTTCTTCTTCATCTTCTTCCAAATTAACTGCAGCTGCTGCAGTTTGCAAGTCTGGTTCTTTCATTAATCCATAATATACTCTTAATTTGTTATCTTGTCGAGTTCCTTCACCAATCATTCCTCCAGCTACTGCATCTATTTGTTGTTTATTTCTAGCTAGTCCTTCATAGACATCAAAGAATAAATTTTCTTGAACAATATCCAATAAGACAGTTTGTTTTTTTTCTTTTAAATGTCGTTTTAAAAGAGATAATGTATCTCTTGACATTCGAACAACAAATTCATTTGATTTATAACTGCTTACTATTACATTATCATTTAATTCTTCTTTTTTAGTAATTATAGCCAAATTACGAATGTCGTTTTGATAATAAGATTCTTGTCCTGGAGCAAATTTTTTCATGAATTGAATTGCCTCTGCTTCATAACCATTACAAACAAGATCCAAGTACATGTGTATAAATACTGGATACAGAACACAGCCTAACTCATGTTTGTATATATCTAATGATGTCTCTACAAATTTTGATAAAGTTATATAAGCATTTTCATACACCGATGGATCTCCTTGAGACTTATATACATTTAAAGCATTATTAACATCAAGTTCCGACGTATTGTAAGCAGAATCTGTTAAATTTGCTTCTTTTTTCAATGTTTCAACAGTAGTATTTAAGTTATATTTTTTAAGAATCTTCAATGCAACGCACAGGTTGGTTTTTTTATCATCAGGTTCTTTGGGTGTTTCATCAATCACAGGTTTGATGTCTGGTTTGATATCTTCTTCCATTTTTTTAACAAATATTATCAGTTAATAATATAATTTATTTTAAACGAACTTAAAACTGTTAAATTTAACGATACTATAACGTAACTGGTTAAATTTGACTTATTGTAAAAATGTGTAAACAAAATATTTATTGATAACCATTCTATCGTGTTTGAGATATATACAGTGCTGTAGTATATGCAGCTCTATAATATTGTCTGATACAAGTTACAGGTAACACTGAAAAATGTATGTAACCAAATAATTTGGTTAACAATTGTATTAGTCGATAACAATTATAAAATTATAACTGATTACTTATAAAAATTTTAAAATATTCATAGACCTTATACTAAGATAATATTTAGTATAAAGTCTATGAAAATATTATATTCCATATCACAAACTAAGATTATAAAACATATTATAATATAATAATATCTTAGTCTGTGAATCAATCTTCTAAAGAATTTTTTATTTTGTATTAGGAATTAGTATTCGAATAAATAAGAATTAAAGTATTTAGAATACATATTCAAATACTTGAAAAAGTATTTAAATACTATTATTATACTTTTTTTCTGTTAATTTGGTCTGTTCACTACTTACTGTTACAACTACTTACAGTGGCAGCATGAGTGTGTCAAGAAAAAAATTATAAATAATAATAAATAATAAATAAATAAAAAAATAATAATAAGTAATTAGAATAACTATAATAAGTAATAACAACCAATAACAAATAAACCGAAATTCCCGCAATTCAACGAACAGTGTAATCATAAGTTATTTAAAATGTTGACGTATTATTGGAAACAGAATAGTATTGTAATATGTTCTGTCATTTGTTATTTTATAAATAATAATAGATTTAAACAAGACGAAAATCACATGCAAAACGGGTCTGCGGGATAAAACACAATGGTGTTTATAAATATAACCATATCACGAGCAAATTATGTTTCATTTAATTAAGCCGGTCCCACACGATTCGTGTACTTGAGCATTCGTAATCGTGTATGATCGCCGAGTATTTTGACTTGACGATCATGTCGCTCCTACATGACTCTTATATTCGCCGATTATCCGATCATCGAGTATTATTAATTGTCCTCACCAATCCTCCTAAACAACTCGGATTTTCATTTGACCATTCCATTTTTAATAAAATACGCATCAAAATTATACTACGAATAACTAATAAGTATTCTGATGAATTAAATTATTAAAATATTAATTTAATAAAAGTAATATAGTCACCGAAAATGCGTACACTAAATGTATTGCATATTAATATCATTATTATTATTATTATTATTATATTATATTAACTACCACGTTGCAAACTTCCAATAAACTAATTATAAAAACTAGTGAGTGGTACGAGTAGCGAACCAGGACTAAGAATCGTGTGAGAAACTCCACGATTACCAAATTATCCATAGACCTATTAACTTAATTAGTTAATAGGTCTATGAAATTATCAATACGCGATTATTTATAATTCCTTTGACTCGTGTCACATTTACCGGCAATCGATAGGAAACGCGCTCCGACTCGGTGAATAAAAATAATTGCCATACTTGACAATTAACATCTACATGACTCGTAAAAAAGCATTACGATTGACGAATATTCGCCAAGTACACGAGTTGTGTGGGACCGGCTTAAGATGGCTTTAAAATTTAACATTTTAATGCAAGTCTAAAATAAAAGATAAAAATTATCAATAATGTGTGAAATTGTAATCTTTTATGCTTTATAATAATTGATGCTATTATAATTTAGATGCTTATATTCTACTTTGTTGGATATCTATTAAAAATATTTCATAACTATAGTTGAATTTCCAATTATAATTATCGTAGGTAACAAGGGTGGATAAAGGGTTGGACTAGCTTTATAGCTCGGCCCGGGCAAAATAATTTCGAACGACCTCAATGGAACTTTATAAGTAGGTAGGTACCTGATCAAATTATTGTTTAGCTGAAAATGTATCTTCGTAACTCAAAAAACAATATTCACACAAGTACATCTGAATATTTTCAGATTTAATGTTATACCTTAAATAAATCTAGTTTACGCATAATGTATCTTATCTATAATATTGATATAATGACCTACCTATTAAGATAAATTTTATACCATAAAAAATGATTTGATTTAAATATGTTCATACATTTAATTTTAATTGAGTTAGAACAGTGGGGTCGGCAACTAATGTCTCTTTTATGCGGCCCACAGTAAATTTCAAAACTAGCAAATGTCATTGAATATCATATACATTTTTTATATTGTCTGGCTCTAGAACCATTTTTAATTTGTGAATGTGGCCCAAAGGTCCATTAAGATTGGAAACTAGTAACAGACTTGTTATTGACTAAACGTCAAAACTATTAAAATGTTTTTGAATAAAAATCTAATAAAAATTATTACTATCGAAAAAACAATTTCGTTAACGCATATCTTGCTTGACAATGTCTACCCATACCATGGTCTTAGAAAATTAATCTTCTAAGACCATAACCCATACCAACATTTTATTTTAATAATTGTTTGAACAAACGCGAACGGTACTTCGTATGATTAACATATTGTACAAATCTTTTGTATTCAAATTTCCTACAATTTTTCTATTTATAAATATTCTGATGATATTATTGTTATCAATTGCCCTATCGCGACATTAAAAATGTTAAATTTTCAAATTCTGAGTTACCTAATCCTGTGTCACCGCATCCATTAGTAATGTCATGTTACAAGACGATATTTTTTATTTTATTTTATGAATAGAAGATGACGCATTAAATTAAAAACAAGAAAATCTAAGTAATTTTATTTAACCAAAATTACAGCAGCCCACCGGGGCATGCCCCGGTGCCCCGGTGTCCTAGTCCAACCCTGAGTGGATCCAGCATCTATTTACGGTCGGAGCACTTTGTAGTAGAAATGTTAAGTATAGTTTGTGTAATTGGCGTATGTAGAAATTTCTTGAAGGAACCTAAGCAAAACTCCCAAAACATAAAATTACATTATTGTACTAAAATTCTTAAAATTTATTTTTATAATCTATTATTCAGTTCTACCATTGATTAGAAATACTTAGAAGATTATAAATACATTATATTTAGATTATTAATCAATGGTTCTAGTGAATATACTTTATTTCAATTTTTTTCCCCCAATGGTAGTGGTTCTCTCCAGCGAGAGGATGGAGCAGGGAGGGCTAGAGTCGTCGTCTCAGCCTGATATTCAAAATTATTTTATAATCTCATTCGTCGTAGCATAAAATCCAAATTTGAATATTTTTATTGTACTAAATTACCTATGTAAAAGTAGTGCTCGTATGTCTTGGCTAAACAAGTGTATGTAAAGGGGGTCTGGAATCGATACTCACTTACCTCAATGTCCCCCCCCTCTGGAGGTAAATAAATATAAAATTCTATAAAAATCAAATTCGTTAACAATTCTATTCACATTCCATTAAGAAATAATAAATTACATTAAAAATGGAGATCATATATTGCTTATTGTTACAAATAACTTACCTATATAAAGTTCTGATTATATTTTATTTCTTGTAAATCTTTCACAACAATCCTTAGGACTAAGTTTTTCGTTTAAAGGAAAAAGCGAATGAAGAACAAACATTTAATTTTTACATTTATACTCAACGTTGCTTATATTTTTTAGGAAGAATAATTTCAATTTTTTGACATTTAAAAATATATTTTGGTATTAAATGATTATAAGAAAACATATTGATGTATGGATGCATTTAATTATAAATTTATATGTATTATAGAATCAGTCGTTGTAATCAGTGACCCCCAGTAGAAAAAAAGTTTCTAAAGTCATAAAGATTTACTACGAAAATATAAAGAAAAAGAATATTAATTAATATCATGTAATTGTAAATAACTTCATTTATATTTATAACAATAATAGTAATAGAATAATATAATTATTAATTCATATCTTATATGTATTTTTATCTTATACATAAAATTCTCCGGTCACATTGTAATTGAACTCTTCCAAAACGATTTGACTGATGTCCATGAAATTTTTATTTGACGTTGAAAGATGCATGCCTTGCATGTAAAGTAAAAAATAAACGGCTGGTGTTTTTTAATTTTTATAGACCATCATCGTGTACAGGGCTCCATTCCTCTTTCAATCATAGACACCATCCCAATATACAATAGGTAAGTTATTTTTTATACTAAAAATACTAGAAATATAAGGCGAAACAACGTTTGCCGGATCATCTAGTAATATTATAAAAACACTTATTTTTTAGAAACATTTTAAGCACCCTCCCTCTACACATACACACACACAAAAAATATTTAAAAATACTCTAATTATCTGTAATTAATATTGTAATCATACATTATTTAACTTACCTATTTTGAATATCAAATTTGACTGTAAAAATAATATTTTTAAATTTTTGCACCAATTTTGTAAATTCTCTATTTTAGTAATATCTTCCTGGTGCAAAGATATTTCTTCTAAAGTACCAATTTCACCTTCATTATGTTCAGATCGTTTCCTTATAAGTTCAATAGAAACTAAAAAAAAAAGTTTTAATATAAATATTAATACGTACAAATATTGATTATTTTAGAATTTACTGATATTTTTGTATGTGGAGTTTACATACAAATCGATATGTCACACTACATATTTTGATCCTGGTGAATCGAGACTGAAAAACGCGCAACAAGTCCAAAATTGATATCACATATCGATTCACATGAGAAATTTGCAAGAAATCTCTTATAGGTTTTAATTTATAGATTCGAAATAATAGTCTAAAGATAATTAAATAAAACGCAAGTTTTGAAGATTTTAAAATAATTTAAAAAGATTTTTCATTTGGCCACTGAAGAGAGTAAACGTATACTAGTTTCCTCAACCATTTTAGAAACACTGTATACCGCATATATTATAAAAGGATTATATGTTTAGTTAAATTTGATACAAATAATAAAATTACCAATCAGCCTATCTTAAAAGAGGTCTGCGCACGCCTATGCGTTAAATTTGTTTAAAAATTAAGACATAATGTCTACTTAGATGTTAGATGACTGTAACATAATACAAGTACATAGCGTCTAGGGGCTAGATCCTAGGCGGAAACGAGTTATTTCTAAATATATTTGCAATGTTCGAATGACTGATAAACAGTGGGTGTTTTCCGCTGTAACATTAGGTTTTCACAAAATAATTTTAAATGCAAGTATCGTAAATCGTAAATAAGTATCTGTACCCAGGCACCGATAAACACTACAAGATGTCCATAGACTCTTGACCAGGGGTTACTAAACGGCGGACTACGAGCCTTAGGTTAACGTATTATTAGTAATAAGTCAGTAGTCTCTGGTTTCAGTACGAGGCCTTTGCAAACGTTGAACTTCGAATATTATCAAGTGTAAGTACAATAATAACAATTACGTGCTAGAATTTGTCAAAATCAAATTAACTACGATAACGTTCGTTTGTACTCACTAGTAGCCATGATTGTACTTTTTAAATTTTTAACTTTTTTTTCGTATTTGATCGGGTCATGAAAAACAGGAATGATCGAGGAAACTTCTTAAAATCTCTCGAACATATAACTCGTATGAATTATAGTAGTGTACAAGAGGCGTCTACGTGGCTATGTGTACGCTAAGCGATTTGGACGAATTTATAGTTCTCTGTCGTTGCTATGGAGCCTTTGATTATTGTACGTTTTTAATATTTTCGTCTGATGGTAATGGAAACGTTCTTTTTTTTTCTTTTACTAAGTTTATTTTTCCATGACATTTCTTTTCGAACGTTATCGCCATCCAACGGTTCTATTATCGCCATGGGTTGTTATCATTGTTTCACCAATATCAATTTCTCCGTCGACCACGATAGCAGCTGCACCCCCGCGGCCCATCACCGTCACGAGGAATAATAACACGACCCCCACCCCCTTTCCATCCGTGTCTACAATTATCATTACATCCATTCCGATGGCCTTATTCACACGTCCCACAGCTGTACTGTATTTTTTTTGATACCGTATTTAAAAAAAAAAAAAAAATATAATGAAAACATGTTTACCGCGACTTGACTTTCCGACGATGTGTTGCAATTTTTCAATTCTTCTCTGTATGTTTGATTAATAATAATTTTTGTTACCTGTTCCACTGTCGTTGGTATGCTTTATTAGGCGTGCGCTCGAACACGATGGCTGCTAAAATACAACCATTTGATCCTCCAAGTTCTGCCAGTTCTGATAGGTAATAATTATCGTAATTGCTTTAACAACACACAGAAATATAACATAGGCGCAATTAAGGTGGCACAAAATGGTCTTTAGTACCTTTGGTCTTTCTTTTTAGTTCAATCTATAATAATTTTAGTGAAATACCATAAATTTTATTTTCAGCAATTTCAGCATCTCCAACACTAAATATAGCTCTAGTTGCGCCTATGCAGACCAAATGTAACTGTGTATAGTGAAATAATTTTGTCTGTGTTATAATTAATGTAACATAGGGTAATGCTTTTAGCGCACCGCGTTTAATTTATATTCAATCTTAATCTGTAATAATTATTATTACTTCATTTGATTACTGAAACCAAAATTGATTATTGAATGATCTGTAATATTGGTTACCATTAGGAATTGGATTTATATATCCAAGTGGCATATTCGTACATGATTCTCTTGTGTTTTTCTTTTAACAGGACATATTATCAATAATATCAGTGATCAGTGCCATAACTAAACTACTTGAGGCCTGTGTGCAAATCAATATCTTGAGGCCTCTTATCATTATACATTTTTCAATAGTAACTAAAAACATTTAATTTTTTTAGCGGGGGAGAGATTTTTTAAATTTAAAAGTCTAAATAAAATATGATCTAAATATCTAAATAAATATGATATTTTATGGAAATAAATAATTTATTATAAATTATTATATTTAAAGAGTGTCAAAAAATTGATTATAGTTATCCTCTACCCAGTGGCGCATTTAAAAGGGAGCGAAAGGGGCAAATGCCCCAGGCGGCAAAATATTCTAAGTTTTATTATTGATGTGTTCATGATTTTTTTAATTTTCGCACCTTTTTCGGTATTGTTTAGTATTTTAAAAAATATTGTTGAGCATCTAATAAGAAATTAAAAAAATTATACTATACCTAGTCACCTAAGTAATAGTGAAATAGCAAAATAGGCATATTACATTTATTATTCGATAAAATATTATATTTTTGTTCAATGTTTATAATAAAGAATTTGGGTACACAGAACATGGTATTCACTTTAAGACACATTTAAAAAGTCTACAAAAAGAGTAAAATTGTACCTAAAAGTGTTCAATGTATGTTAGAATTTATAAAAGAGAATAGTTTAGTTGAAGTATATCCTTATATTGATATTGCTCTAAGGATGCTACTTTGTATGTACACCTTCAAGTAATTGTTCAACAGAAAAATCATTTTCTAAATTAAAAATGGTCAAAACTTATTTAAGATCAACAATGAGAGAAAATCATCCTAATTAATTAATGACCCTTAAAATTGAAGCTGATTTAACGAAAATTATTAATTTTAATGATATTATTGAACATTTTTCTTCTCAAAAGTCAAGAAAAAAATTATAAGCTATCAATTATTTTATTGTATATAATTAATAATAAATATAATATTTTTAATCTAATAAAAAACCATGTATTGTTAATCATTGTGCATATAATAAGTGTTAATTCTGTTTTCTATATTTAATATACATATATTTTTTTAAGAAAGGAATATTCACTTTGAAAAAAAAATTAGGTTAACGTGACGATATGTATTACTATAAAATTATCTAATACAATATCGTAAAACAACTGATTTATAATTTGTTTTGTAAAATTAATTTTTTTTTTAATGCTTAACTTTGAATTTATTTATATATATTTTTTTTTGATAAGGGGGAAGGGCGGTAAAATTATTTTGCCCTGGGGCGCATATATATTAAATGCGCCACTGCCTCTTCCTATATTAATTAACATAATACCTAGGATATGTTATTGGGCATAGTTTTTGTTTTTGAACACTAGTTTACTTGAACAATTAATAATTAAAAACATGTTATTCAAAAGAAAATAAATAAATATTATAAAATGTTATTTGTGATTTATTTTCAAATTGCTATTAATCAAAATTTATAATTATTCTGTGGTTCAATATTATTATACGCATTTTGAAGGGACTCACCGTTGCAAATTGATAAAATAGTTTAATAATTATAATAAAATTAAATATATTTATAATATAATTTAAACATGAGAACAATGCAATAACCTAGAAAATGCAGGGAAGGGGTATTGGTAAAGATTGTTAATAACATTGGTTTCATTAAAATGAATTATATATTAATATTTCCATACAGGTCATTAAAACTTTTGAGGCCCAGGGCCTGTGTGCAATGCACACTGCACACAATCAGTTTTTATAGCATTGATAGTTATGCTGTACATTTTAGTGGCTATTCAATATTTGTGTATTGTAATGTAGTGTAATGCTTGATTTTAATGCTGGTTTTAAGTATAGATAATGTTTCTACAATTATTCTAATTTATAATTTTAAGTAGGTCATGTTTAATATTTTATTTTATTAATTGTACTTTTAAGTTGCATTTACATTATGTTGAGTACTTAAATGAGAAAATAAATTACTATTTGTGAATTATTTATTAAAATATAGTTTTTTTTTTGATATTTAAACATTTTTTAATACTTGTGTGTTTTAGGTTTGACCATTTAATTCTAGGTTTCTCATTGCATATTTCCTTAATATTATTTATCAACTATATTAGATTGTATGAATAGATAATAGTCTATATATTTAAATAATTCATGGAGAGTGATTTTAATTGTATTTGACAATTTTGTTTTTATCATGAATTTAATAACTCTAAATATTTCTTATAATTTATATTTTTAGACAACATAATATTTTATTTTTTTTTGCATACTTTTATTTATATTTTATTAACTTTGAATGTCTAGTTTGCTAAATTGTATTATTATACAATTTGTTAGAATAAATTCATTGGAAAAACCACGCATAAAAAAATTAAATATTTAAGGTATATGTTATAACAATATATTTTATTGTTAAATATGTTTAGATTTCATTCTTATTTTAATTTTAGCGATTTAAATGAGTATCGGGATGTAGTTGGAGACATTTCAATAGCTGTAGACAATGATGAAGAAGAAAGTGATAGTATAATTTCTTCAAGTATGTCACCATCAAAACAATCAACAACTGCACCATCAACAGGTAATTAAATATTATTTACTTATAGTAAACTATTTTATATTGTTAAATTGTATCAAATAAAGTTTTAATTGCATTTTGTTAACATAATTGGTAGAAGTAATTTTATTAGTTCTATTGCAAAATGACCCACTTTTTAGATGTTAATCAAGCTTATATAAGTTTTATGTAAATTTTTTGAAGTAATTTAATATAAACAAGATCCATATTTTTGTAATTAATAATTTACAATTTTTCCTTTTTTCCTGTAAAATTTATATTTATTGTTGGATAGTAACAGAGATGTTATTATTTTAGTATTGGTGAAATCTCCTAGATCAACTATACGGCAAAGAACAACTTCTGTCAGTCAATCAACAAAAAAAACAGCTACAGAATCAGTATTGCAGTCTCATACACGTACAATATATACAGCTGGCCGACCACCTTGGTATAACACTGCAGGACAGCAAGTAGAACCATTTGTTATTGGTATGTTATTGTTTTAATTATATTTAAATAGTTTGATATTAGTATTTAGTTCAGTAATAATAACAAGTATAATCTGTTAAGGCTAAATTTTATTAATTTATATTAATTAAATATATACATAATTATATTTAGGTGTATGTGGTGGCAGTGCTTCTGGGAAAACAACTGTCGCTAGAAAAATAATAGAATCATTAAATGTACCATGGGTTGTATTGCTTAGCATGGACTCATTTTATAAGGTTTTATATGCGAATAATTATATTTTTGGAGTTAACAATTTTAAAAGAGTTTGATATTATTAACAATATTTTAATAATAAAACAAATAGGTATTAACAGAAGAACAACATGAGAAAGCTGCCTTTAATGAGTATAATTTTGATCATCCAGAAGCATTCGATTTTGAACTCTTGATCTCCACTTTACAAAGATTGAAGGATGGCAAGAAAGTTGAAGTGCCCATTTATAATTTTATCACTCATGCTAGAGAAACCAAAACTGTAAGCATTTATTTGCTTGATTATTACTATTATATTAATTTTTAATGAAAACAGCTAAACTAATATTTTTTTATTATATTATTGCTATTTGGTGATTTTAATTTATTAACTACTAAAACTACTAATATTAGTGATAAAATATAGATTTTATTGAGACAATCTTGGTAAAACCTGAATAAATTAATTTGGAAATAAAATTTTTATGACTACTATTATCAGTGGCATGTTTTAACTTATATCCAAAAAAAATTAATTTAAATAACTGTATATTTTAGTGATTTTGATAAGATAAATAAGATATAATTTTATTCATATAAAAATAATATTGAATATGATTAGGGAACGGTTTTATTTGCTTATCAATAAGGATTAAAAATGTAACTGCAATTTTTGGATTTGGGTATAACATGCTAACATTTATTATTTTTTTTTTTTTTTTGTTTAATAAATGTAATAATACCATAAATTCATGTTGAAATTAAGTATTATAATTATTAATATAATGAGTATATGCATTAAAGATACATGTATAATTATATAAGCTTTATTTGGAATTTAAATTTGACTATCAATAATATTTAAATAGTTTTGATAGTCATTATTTCAATAAAATCGACAACTTAGTGTTATATGATATACATGACTATTTAAAACTTGTATTAATTCAGATTTAAATTTGGCTTTAATTTTATTATAAACTTAATTATGTCAACTTTATTTTAATTGAAACATAATTTTATTACTTATATTCTTTAGTAAAACTTAATAACATATGTTTCTATTCTTATAATACTGTATTAGTTCCTATTTAAATCTATAGAAGTTATAAATGTCAATTATAAAGTAATAAATAAAGTATATATTATTTATTTGTTTTAGAAAACAATGTATGGTGCTAATGTCATAATATTTGAAGGAATCATGGCATTTTATAATACAGAAGTTTTAAACGTTAGTAATATTTTTTTAAATTTTTAACTCTTAATTATAGAATGACAAGAAGTTCTATTATTTGTTATTGAATTTTTCTTACAAGTTTTTAAAATTTTAGTTTTTTGATGTTATCCTCTTAATATTTATTTTGTTGTTTATAATTTAATTGTATGAATCTAAAAAAAAAAAATATCCATAAAATATATTCTTTATCAATTAATTTTAGTTTATTAATATATTAAAAACTTACAAGATAGACGGTAATTAAGTTAGTTAATGTGTGTTCATAATAAAATATATATTATTTATAATTTCTTTAGATGTTGGACATGAAAGTATTTGTAGATACTGATGCTGACATTAGATTAGCCAGAAGATTAAAAAGAGATATATCTCAGCGAGGTAGAGATCTTCAGGGTGTTTTAAAACAATATTGTAATATGGTTAAACCATCATTTTCACATTATATTGCTCCGTCCATGGTTCACGCCGATATCATTGTTCCGAGAGGTGGTGATAATACAGTTGCTATTGAATTAATTGTTCGACATGTACATAAACAATTACAAGCGGTAAGATGATTTCGTAATTTTATTATCTTTTTTATAGTTGAAATTATATTAATCTGTCAGCTTAAAGTTACATGCAGAAAAAAAACTTGTATATATTAATATGTATAATAGTAATAGTTTAAAGTTAAATTATTTTAGTAAAATTGATAGAAGAAACTATACTTCATTGAATTTTTGTACTTCAGACTATTCTATTACTAACAAATAACTATGGATCATTACAATTTATAATATTGTATTATATAAGATTCACTATTTGAATAATAAACTTGATACAATTTTGTTGTAACACATGTTCGTAGTTTAAATTAACTTTATTTTTTTATAAATTAAACGCAATTGAAAGTTTTAATTAAAATGTAAAATTTTTATTAATACATTTATTATTATTGAAGTACTTACATGGTAACCAAAGTTCAGAGTTTTATATTATTTTTTAAATGTTGATGTAGGTAAGACAAAATCACAGTGGTACATAATGAAAGGATTCCATTATTTAAATTTATTTTTGCTGCAAACATTGCATTATATAACAAAATGTAAATAAGAAATATCAAGAAATGATGCTATGTTATGTTTCAGTTGATTGATTTAAATCATAAATACAATTGTAGCTGTATAATTGAATTGCAGTATTTTATTGTTGTTTGTATTTTAATTTTACAATTTAAATATATTATAATATATAAAAAAAAAATTTCTGTAAAAAAACAATAATTTTAAATTTATTCATTGAACTATTTGTAAATTGCCCACAGTAAATATATAATATTATTTAAAAAATGACTATAAATTATTTCATAAATTAATTTTTTCATTTAAAAAGTTATATTTAGTTTAAATGTATTAAAATTTCTATTGATTACATCTGTTATTTTGTTGACGTGATATTTTTACCTAGTGGTATTATCTAGGGGGTGGGAGGGAGTAACTCATGCATTTGCCACAGCCTAAAGTTTAGCTCTTTCAAAGTTGGCAGACTATCAAAATATAAATGCGTCTTTTGTTAAGGCTATTGACCTGTTGTAAATCTGAAAAATGAAATGTGTACTGTACTGGTATTTATGTTCAAAGTACATATCGTTATATTTTTGAACTAGTTTGAAGTCCCTTTCTCTCCATATTTATCATCACTTAAAATAAGCAAAAATAAGGGGAAAATTTCAACTACTCTAATCTAGAAGAAATTGAAATAATACCTATGCTTTTGCTAGATAAGTGAGCAATTGATTCATGTCAATCAGTATTTTAAAATTGATAATTTTACTTATTATCAAATTTGTTTTTATAAAATCTAATTTCTTGAAAATATAGTATTTATTTTTATTTTTTGCTGTACATTAATTTCAGGCTTTATATTATGTTTCAAACTCATCGTTATTATAATTTTAAATTACAACAATTTGGACATTACTATTGTGTATGTGTACCATTAACTATACTAGATAAACAATTTCATTGTGTACATTTTTCTTTCTTAAAATAAATAATAAATATTTGGTTTCTGAACTGCTTGCTTAACATGTCAATAAATATCACAATACAGCATTAATTTAATGTCCATTTAATTGTTATTTTCTCTGTATGTATATAATAAATACCACAGTATGGCATATTTCGTTAATTATTTATGTGGAATGTATGCAAACTATAATTTTTTATTAAATTGAACTAACCAAAAATTAAAATTAATTTTTTATTTTGTGGTTTTACTTTCATACTTTTAATTGTTAATACGTTTCTTACAACATATCATAATAATGTTAATTTAATTTTCCAAAAATATATTTTTCCACTTTTTTGGTTTCAATATTTTGGAGCATATTAAGTTTTGTATTTTACTTAACTATTCTTGCTTGGGTATGTTTACATATATTCATATTTAATCAATAATTTTATAGTAGCTGTTGATTATTAAATTAACAATATTAAATTTTCTATTGAATATAAAATTAATTAATAATTAATTATATGTTCAGCCATCATCTACAATTATTAATTAAATATTGGAGAACAGCAGGTAGTGTTATGTTGGTACTAAAAGACATAAATATTTTATAATACAATGAGTAATTATATTGTAAGCTTGATCTTAAATAGTTTTATAAAATAAAAAAAAAAAAAAGAATGTGTTGTATCAGTTCATTGTAAGCGTGTAACCATTGTCATTTTAAATATGTTATCTATGTATAATATAAAAAATTGTGATTGGTCTATTTGTGTATGCTCTTGCAATCAATTTTAATGGTTGTACAAATATACATATATTATCACTGTAATATAATACACTGGAATCAACATGTTTGGTTTTAGTTTTAAATATAAAACATACATAGCTTCATCAAGGTATATATTATTTTCAAAGGTCAATTAATATGAAATACATCTTAAATAAATGTGAAAAACATACTTGCAATTTTTTTATGATATTTTATTAATTTTTAATTTATAATTTAGCGAGGATTTAAATTACGAGAAACTTTGGCAATGTCTTCTGTTGGTCAACCTCTACCTAGTTCTATCCATCTGTTACCATCTACACCACAAACACAAGGCTTACATACATTTATTCGAAATAAGGATACACCTAAGGATGAGTTCATATTTTATTCCAAACGGCTCATAAGATTAGTTATTGAGTTTGCACTGTCATTACTGCCATTTAAAGTAAGTCATTTATTAACTTGTAACTCCTCTAAAACAATTATTGTTTCTATTGTTTATTAGGATGTAGTTGTCGATACTCCTCAGGGTGTACCTTATTCTGGTAAAAGATGTGCTAGTGATAAGATATGTGGTGTGTCGATATTAAGAGCCGGAGAAACTATGGAACAAGCAGTCTGTGACGTTTGTAAAGATATACGTATTGGAAAAATTCTGATTCAAACTAATAGATCTACTGGTGAACCAGAAGTATGTACTGAATTAATTATTATTTTGGTTTATGTAATAAATAGTAATTGTTTTCATTTAGCTTTACTATCTACGGCTGCCAAAAGATATTAAAGATTACTTGGTTATCCTAATGGACGCTACAGTGGCTACAGGTGCAGCCGCAATGATGGCCATTCGAGTACTCTTAGACCATGATGTTCCTGAAGACAATATTTTATTGGTGTCATTACTTATGGCTGAATCTGGTACTTATGAAAACTATTTGATTTGAAGTTATACAATTTTACATTTATTTTAATTTTAGGGGTGCACACAATTGCTTATGCATTTCCTCAAGTGCGCATTGTCACATCAGCTGTTGACCCAGAAATAAATGAAAAGTTCCACGTTCTACCTGGTATTGGTAATTTTGGTGATAGATATTTTGGTACTGAACCAGAAGAGTACTTATCCAATTAGTTAGTAAGTTATTAAACATAAGTTCTCGACTACTCAGTTTGTGATTATTAACATACTATTCATATTTTTTACTAAATGTTTCTTATAACACTACCTATTAAGATGTGTTGAAATTGTATGTACTTAGCATAATATAAGACTTCTAGTATTTTAAAAAAAAAGTGATTGTATTATTTAAGAATTGGTTGTATATCATCAAATAAACAATTTCAATTTATAATGTGTTTTGAAGTTTTTAAATAAGTATTTCCTTATTATATAAACATTTTAATTTTAGTTTAAAATTGGAGATAGAACACATATAATTTTCATTATTGAAAGATATAAAAAATCTTAATTTATCAATGTAGTACGTTTTTACTTGAACTATTTAGTTTGTACAATAATTGAAACAATTATTATGTTAAAACTGACAGATGTGCATTGTGATAGCTTTTTGTAATAGCCAATTGAACAGTCATTATTTAAAAAAAAAAATAGAATTCTGATACCTACTTATTATTTCACCATATATAATACTAAATACATTTGGCTGAAATGAATAAAATATATAACAACATTTTATTTATAATAATTTACTGTCAACAACTTAATAAATATAAGGTAAATATTTTTATTATTAGGCATTATTATGTAAATTTACTCAAATCTACAACTTTTATTCTCCTAAATGATTTTTAACAAAAACAGTTATTATTTATTTTTCTATGTTTTCATATACTTCTAAATCTTTATTAGACTTCTATACTCCATTAGATAAAGAAACTACTATAATAAGTATGTTCTTATATATTTTTTATTTATAGTCTATGAATGTACTGATATAAAATCAATAATAAAAAAAAAAAAAAATTAGTAAATGGGGCAATGGCCCCTCTGGCTACGTAACTGGTCTTAATACTGTGATGATTTGATTAGTATTGAAAAAAAATACATACAGTAGTCGCTGTTTATTTGATTCATTTTGAGACCATTCAAGTCCATTAATCACTTGTGTCATGTAAGACGGGAGATCCTAGAAAAAGAAATATGAATATTCTTTTTAATAATTTAATTTAATTAAAAATATTTATTAATATTTCAGCTTAGTAATTCAAATACATGTGTATTTCATAAATGTATATAGTTGATTTGTATGTATAATAATAAGATAATGTATGGGCTAAATAGAAAAATTATAATTTTACTGGTTGAAATACTCGGTTTTTACCTTAGAGAGATTTTAGTACTATAGATTGAAAAAATTCGTGAAAAAGTGCGAAAAATAAGTGTCGCCATTAAGTGGTTGATTTTTTCATGTATATCCCAGCCATTATTTAATATCTGCATGCAAATTTATAATTACTAATTACAGATTGTTTGTTTTATAAGTAGTTAAGAAAAAAAATATTAAAAAGCTCCCAATCCTCTTATATTCTAGCGATCTGTATTTAATTTATTTATACTGTATTAATTTAATGTACATTTTTTCTTGGGTAACCAAAATATGAAAGAATGTATACATCCAACCCAAAACGGTTTTGACTTTTAAAAAGCGATTTTTGAAAAATCCCATTTTATTGTACTTGTAGAAGAGAAATTGTGAAACCGTGTCAAATTTCAGTTGCACACTTTTTTGTCGTTTTCGCGTGTACTGATCAATCAGTGAGTGGTAGTTCAACTCGATGTTCATAGACCACATAAGGTTGTATAATTTTGTTTGTGTACCTACCAAATTCATTTTTTAAAGATGTCCATCCGATTGTCAATTATTCAACTGTTTATTGATCTCGTTAATCAGTGTAGTGAGTGATATTTACGAATTGTTAGTATACGTGCGAATCGGGAGAGCCTATTTTTGAGTCCAAGGGACAAATGTTGAATATGTTTATTGATCGTGAGTCCAATGAACGGTGACCACCGTATATTATACATTAATTATAACAAGCCATTCGAGAGGCAATGAACTGACTAATTGTCTTGTTATTTAATGTTTTAATTTTTATTCGATGGATTATAAATAGTAATTGTAAAGTAATTGTACTGTAAATGTAATGTATTTTAAAATTTTGAAAAATGTAGTAACATGTTGGGATTAGTGTTACGATGAGATAAACTAGTCGCTATTGTTTGTAAATTAAACGAAGAAACATTCTATAGTCATATCAGTCCGAGCCAGTGGCGTATTTTCAATTTTTTCTGGGGGGGGTCCACAGTTTATACATAATTAATATAAACTATATATTATATTGTAATAGTTACGTCCTTATGCAGTTTTTGGAGGAAGTTGAACTAAATATATAATGTAATAATCGTATAGTCTTATGTAATACTATATATATATAATATAAATAAATATCTATATATTTTATTTAGCACTATATATTATAAAGTATTGTTACAAAATAAATTCCAGTCGTCTCGATTTTTTGGCCAACTCCTCTATCACTTCATCAACAGTAAATTCAACTTCCCTGTGTGTTTAACATAGCCAATTCTGCAAATTTGTAAGAATTTTAGTTAATTTTTTTATTTTTTGGAGAGGTTTTGAGGGGGGTCCAGTACCCCTGGACCCCCATAAACACGCCACTGGTCTCAGCACTGTGTTGTACGTTTAACTTGAATTTAAGGAATATACGTCATTTCGACGCGGTCATTTGGACGAACGACAATTGGGCGCATGCGTCAATTAGACACATGCAACTTTGACGTGATCACTTATAGACGTGTGTCAATGTTGACACAAAACAAAAATAAAATATATATAACATATACCTGTATATTATTAGGTAATTCCAACGTAAAAATCTGGTATCTGTACATCTGTATATTATTATTATTTGTTTACCTATTTGGTCACATATATCTAAATTGTACACATTTCATCATTACTTTTATTACGGTTTGCCGTTCAATTAAACCTAAATCATTAATAAAACATGCCATAACCTACAGATAACTGCAGAATATTTTTTGCACTGAGCCGGGTTCCAACTGGTGACTGCGCGCGTCGTGGCCGACATTGTGACCATTGCACCACTCTGCCTCTCGTATATTATATATACAGTAGCCGCCGCTTATTGGACTCACTTTGGGACCCGACAATTTGAGTCGATTAACCGAATGAATCAATAAGGCGAATGACTCAAAAAAATTTTAAAAATCCTTAAATTTAAAACCGTATTTACTTAAAAATATGTATTGAGATTCAATATGTATGTATAAAAATAAAAATCTATACGCAATTAAAAATAAAATAATTAAATAAAATATGTACTTAATTAATAAAATAAATTAATTTTTTGATAAAGTGTATTGATGTAGTGTTAGAGGGTAAGAATACGAGGTTAATATGTTTAAATTTCACTGTAACCACATGAGCCGTGCAGTTATCGACTAGCAATAAAACGTCATGATGAAGTTCATTGTCCCACTTGATCAGCCATTCGGTGAAAATTTCTTTTATCATCCATGCATTACTGTTTGCAGTATAGTCTACCGGTAGATTCTTAACACCCTTGAAACACCGGGGATTTTTACTTTTACCAATCACAAGCAGTTTTCTTTTTTCACCATCCATACTCGCACAACATAATATGGTTAGACGTTCTTTACTAGTTTTAGTTCCTCTAGTTTTTTCATTTTTGAACGCGTAAGTGTGCTCAGGTAATGTCCTGAAATAAAGTCCAGTTTCATCCGCATTGAACACACAAGACGGAGGATATTTGGCGATAAGTGATGGCTATTCTGAATGAATCCACAACCGTGCAGCTACATGGTTGGCTTCTCCCTGTTTTCCATGTGGCTTAACGAATGAAATGTTTTCGCGTTTCTTCCATCGGTGAAACCAACCTTCTGTTGCCACAAAATTATCTTTGCCTATTTTTTTCGCAAGATCTTCGGCTTTTTGGCGCAAAAGTGGTCCTGTAACTCGGACATCTTTTTGTCTGACTTTTGTGAACCATTGCTTTAAAGCTTCTTCAACTTCTTCTTTACCGCCCAATTGTCGTTCGTCCATTTGACGCGCGTCAAAATGACGGGACACCGAATTTAAGACGACCGTAATAAGCATTTAAAGTGGTCAATGATCTATAAAATGCGGTAATTCTGTGCTCGAATTGGGAAAATCGACGGAGTAGAATTTGATTTTGATACTGCGTTTCGAATGTAAGATCAATTGATCTGGGTTAGTTGAATGGGGGGTTTCCACCACTTGTCCACTCAACAAAAACTTTAACGAGCAAGTAAGTAGTATATTATTCATTAAATTACCACTTAAATAAATAATAAATTGCAAAACATAACAAGAGAAAATCAATGCTTATATTATATTGTATACATTCACCGTAATAAATAAAACTTAATAAAATTAAGAGTTATAAATTGGTCATTTTTCTTGTTCAGAAACCGAACTCTTGGAAATTAAACTTTTTTTTGATATCCTGTATTAGTATTCACTATATAAAGCGGATCGACGCATATTACATTCTAATAATCCGTTATTTGAAGCCAGTTATCATTTAAATAAAGTTTGGTCAGTTGAAATGTGTATTATTTCACTAGGAGTTTGGTTAACTAAATTACGATTTGTATTTAAAAATAATATCGTGGCTAACATAAGAGTGAAATATTTTGTAGTTAGTTATTGCTTAACAGTATCGGTAAGGGTTCCATATTTAATTTTTAGTTTATACGTTTTTTGTCAAATTATATTAAACTGGTGACGTGTAAGAATTTCAATACAATATTTTTAAACCTAGCAATAGTTAAGTATTCATTTTTTAAATGTTAACATTATTATTTATTCTTAAATTGTGAAAACCAATGTAGATAAAATAATTAATCAGTTTTATGTTTTTAATAAAGACACGGAAACCTCATATACATTTTTTTTTAATTTTATAGTTTAAACTTAAATAATCAATATTAGTAAGATTCTTTTAATTCATTTATGTTTTTTTTGTGAGTATATAATTTTTCTTAGACATTTTGGAACGATGCGTTGAACTTGATTACTCTGTATCCCTGCATGGAGGTAAATATCCTTATGGTTACATGCTTCGTTAGCTTATCAACCATATTTTCTCTTTTGATTATTAATTTTTTTATAATTTTCGATACATTTTCATGTCAACATTTCTAAATTAAAGTTTGAACTTAGAATAACTACTATAAGTAAAATAATTTCAATCATAATTATGTTTCTTTTTGTTTCATTATTATTTTTATTTAAATAATTAATACTTCAAATTTTAAATTTAAATTTCAATTAATTTTATTAATTAGATACTTAGATACTATATTAGATACTTACTTATAGATTATATAACTTATATTTATATAACTGTTGTATTTTTGCATAAATAAAATTGCTTCCGGGAGCAAGAAGATCCTTTTTAAATTATAATTATGTTTTTTTATTAGTAAATAATTTTATTTTTTTTTAGCGTTGAAAGTGTAAACTTTACATTTTAAAACAAAATTTTTACATAATCAAATTTCTTGCGGGTGCCTAGGGCCTCTCTTATTTTTTTTTTTTGGTAATATGATTTACAAATGATGAAAAACTTCCATAATTTTAATAATAATTAAGTTTTTTTAGTCAATAATTGTTTTATTTTCACCTAAAACAAATTGTCTTCGAGAACTACTTAGTAATAAATACAATTTGAATTTATCTACACAAATAATCGTGAATTGTTTCAGCAAGAAAATTTGGACAGCTTTAAAAGTAGAATATGTAACCGCATACCTCGACCCTTCAAATGACGCTTTCGATCACCTCAACCATCCGTTCGATTCGTTGTGTATTCTTCGAACTTTAAATTCATCATTAGCGTATGCGGTATTCGTCTTTCTCAAACGTTATAAAATTAATGAACGCTAAAAAAAAACCACGTTTAAGTTTATGCGTAGGTGTTTATAGTTTTACCGTAGGCAATGCACTGGATGTGCTGTAGACGCTGCGCGGATTACGTCTATTCGCCGTGACCATGGTTTTATCTCTAATTTCTCTGCGATATTATTATTATTTCTGTTATTTCGAATTTGAAACATTTTCCTCGAATTTGCAAAATCATTTATCGAATTCTTATGTCGGGACGAGACCATAAATGCCGAACTATAAAACGGGGAGGCATTTTGGCATATTCGTGGTATACTGCTGTAGGCACGCGAGACCCGTTTCGAACTAATTAAGCGGTTAAGTGTATAGAGCTTATCGAGAGCTTCTAATTTTATTTTTTCTTATCACACGCTTTCATCATTTATTATGATTATTAATTATATTTTAATAAATATTATTAAAATCGTTTTAAAATGCTGGAAAAACATTTTTTAAGTTCGATGGTGGTGGTGGTGATGGGTGTTATGAGTGAACTCTCAAAGCCTTTCTTACCTAACCTGCCCAAAACATTGTTTAGTCCCTCCCATTTAAAAATCTCGGCTACGCCACTGGGTGCAACAAAACATAATCAGTACAAATTTATAATTTATTTTAATTTATTATGCACCGAAACAAAGCTCTAATGTATTATAAAATCCTTTTAGAACAGAAAAAAAGAAAACCGTGGCAGAACTGATCCCAACGCCCTCGCTCTTGGTACACGACCCAGCCGGGTACACACGTCATACATATACCTTATCCGGATATGAAGACCGAATTAAAATAAGCATGGTGGTTACCTTTATATGATATACAATTAACTTCACGAGTTTTAGTTTTAATGCGAATTAGTTACTAAGTATATATGGAGAAGTACATTGACCATGAGTCTGGATTAAGATTGAACGGTAATATGAATACCTGAGAGGTGGGCTGAACTTTCTATTAGACGTATCCGTGCTCGTTTAATTAATAAATGGAATTGTTGACACAATCTTGACCATTCGAATCCGGAATTAAAATAATCCTGTTCGGATCTCGAGCACGACGTGATGGCAATAATCTATACCAAGTGTATATCATAATATTATACGTGCCACACGCCTCAAGCGAACCAGTGAGCTAGATAAATGTAATATATGTGATAGGAAACAGTTCATTCAGGAATTCCACTGAATTTTCAAGAGAAAACAGTCAAGAATAATTTAGTTTAAATACAATTTTACTGTTCGCCTAGGCATTTAGTTAAACTCATACTCGCTGAATACCGAGCTACGCAAATAATAAGAAAATTAATATTTTCATGATATTTTAAATTAATCATTTATTGTTATCTGTATGCATATAATTCAAACATCAGTACACTATTTTCCCTAACGGCTTGCAGCCAAAACTTCCATACCGATTCTTTTGATATATTAAGGGGACATACTTATTATGTTTTTTGTAGGCGCTTTAAGTAAAGATTTTTCGATAATTGCCCTTTTAAGAGTCGAAACAGTTTTGGTTTTCGTGCTGAATGTATACGTTTTTTCATCTTTTGGTTACTTAAGAAATATTTTATTTTGTTTGAAATGTTGATTTTAAATTAATTTTTTTTTTACATTAAAATAGTAACTGGTAAAATCTAAAATAGTAAAATATTTTTTGGACGAGGCCGGATATTTTGGTCAGTTCTATAAAAAACAAACCCTACAGGATCAATAATATTGAGACTATGAGGTCGGTCAACCGTGAAATGATGTCAAAACCATTGGCCGAAGAAAATCCCTCTTCCCGAGACGCTTGGTCCATATCGCAGAATTCAACGCTCCTCACTGCCTTATCAGTCTCGTAAGATTCCTTGTGGTTCTCACCGTTGAGGTAGAGAATCAATTTCTCGAAACAGATCGATGGCCAGTTTCTTTAGTTTCCAGGTAAACCGAAAAAGCCATTGGGACGTTTGGTGACTTCATTTCGCAGACTTGACATTTGACGATTCGTTGATATTTGTCAGATACAATCCTCTCACATTTGTTACCTTTACAAGTCGTTACCATCGTAACCATCATAATTCACCGATCCGCTGCAGATAAAAACCACTTTCGGTGTTGATGTTGAACTTTCAACCGAGGTCACTGTTTATTTGTTTTAACCAACAGTGGGAGGGTGATGCTTTCACAACACTACTTACCTAACCTTATTTTTTTGTTCGAATCGATGGTCGATCGGGAGCTGTTTATCACATTACTGCTCGCTCGGTCCAATACAACCGAACCTTACCGTGGCGATGGTAAGCCCATCGTTATACGCAGTTTTAAAAATAAAATATTACTATTGAAAAGAAAAAATACGAGTAGTTCTTGGCCACTGTTTAAAAAAAATAAAACAATGAAAAACGATTTATTGTATTTCGATAATTCATGCGAGGTGGACTTTATATAGAGGATAGGTACGTATTGTTCAGAGGACTAGTGGAGCCGAACAATATTTTGAATGGTCTGGTCAATAGCCACCCATTTTACAACTTACGACCTAAACTCACTAACTTACATCTTAAATAGTAATTATTAAATAGGTAGTCATTATTATAACTTATAGTTGATTGGATTAATTCATTTAGTACCTAACCTTATCTACCACGGCACCACCTGACAACCTAAAAATATGGTCTGGTCAAGACTAAACTTGAAAGCCGAGTTGGGTTCCGCTGCTGGAAACCGTCCGTTCTTGCTTGTAATTGAGTCAGTGTATAAACTTTGAATTCCGTACACTGCTTGGCAACACGAGATGATTGTTGTGATGGAGATTCGATGAATTTGTGTAATTCAACTGCACACTTTCTTCGGTCAGCACATTAAGTTCGTAGACGAATAGTTCATTTGAACTATTTACTTTGATGAACTATTCTGAACTGTTTCAGTACCTGTAACTTAATAGTTCACAGTTCGAAAATAATTGGTAGCATTGTAGAAATGATATAGTTCGCGAACTTCTTTAAAAATTCTCTGTGGTTCATTGTTCGAAATCCGGTAAATTTAAACAGCTGTTTACAATTAGATAACAAATACTTAATTGCCCATAAGTAAGGCACTATAATATATGGGTATGCTAAGCCACCATTTTGCGACACAACATTGATAAAATAAACGCGGGTAAATTCGTAATTTCATAATATAATCATTATTTATTTCACATTATTTTTATATTTTACTTTGGCCGTTGTTTTGTGTTTGGTGATTTGGTCTATGTACGTGTTTATTTTATTTATAGCTTATATTTGACTCTTTCGAATAAGATGAAACTATTATTCACTTACATTATTTATTTTGTAATTGAGCTCCAAATTTAGTTACTATGGGATGTTGTACTGCACCAAACTGTAGTAATTCTCGGAAAAAAAAATTAAATTGTTCCGTTTTCCACGAGAAAAAAGCAGTAAGGACAAATGGGTTCAGAATTGTAGGCGAGGTAAGTGGACACCAACAATTCATTCAGAGCTATGTGAAGTAATAATGTCTTAAATATGAATATAGTGTGTTTATAATATATGTAGGTATCTTCTAATTAATTTTCATAAATATTAAAATTTAATATATTCTATAGTATATTAAAATATAGAATAATACTAAAATAATATTCTATAATATATTCTACCAACAATTTATAATAATTATGTTTATGTATTCTTGAATTTAGTTCAACTTTGAAAACTACAAAAAACTAATACGTTATACGTAAGATATACACAGGACTATATGCTGATAAGTGATAAGTGAGTCGCAAAATAGCGGCGTAGCATACCTATTATATATAGTGCCCTACCATAAGTAGTGTGAACTACTAATAAACTGTGTACTGCTGTACTAATAGTGATAAAACGAATAGTTCATTGCCAAACAATATCAGTATGATCAATAAAATTAGTGAACTAGGTGAACTTAAGAATAGTTAATTTGAATGAACTGTGAACTAATGAACTATTCACAGAAATGAACTAAACTTTTCATCTCTAATTTGTGGTATCATTATGTGTGTGTGTGTGTGTGTGTGTTTTTTTATCTTTCGACTAGAAGAACTGTAGTGGTTATCATAATCATTGAATGTTTATGATAAGAAATATTATCTGATTGGAACATTAACTGCAGGAAAAATAACAAAATAAATGAAAATATTTATGATATACATGTTTTCGACAAAATCGAATCTTTGTTTTCATCATTATTTAAAAAATAATGATCGTAGAGACTTAATATTTTCGATGAATATCTTTATCACTGTTGGATTTAAATGATACAATTTTCAAAAAGATATTATTGAGTTATTTATAGATATAAGAAAATGTGAAATTTTCTTTGCATTTTTGTTCGTAAATTATTGATAAAATTATTCTGATTATTATTATTATTATAATATATATTTAACAATTTTGTCAATACTCACCCACCCACTAAAAAACTGCGAGGCAGCCAACTCTCGATTATTCACATCGCCACGCCACTAATAGTGATAATACATGGATTCGACAAGATCAATTGTCTTCCTCGGTGGCTGCCCCGAAGAATTACTTGTTTCTGATGAACACATTTTATTCTGTACCGTCAAAAATAGACAATATTATACATTTGTACAGTCACTATGTATATACTGCACACCGGATAAGCCGAAAACGTGTCGATAAAACATAATATTCCCTCGTGGTGCTGCCTCGAACGGGCGGTTTCACCGTATACATAGAATTATGATTTTAGACTGCTGCTGAATATCATCCTGTCGCATTACCGCAGCAGTGTAATCCCCTTGGGCGTATTCAATTAGCACAGTTACCGCACCGGGTGACACTTTTATTTGCTTTCGAAATCGAGGTTTTCACGCTATGACGTAAAATGAAATAATAACGATTCGAAAATAATGTCACCTTCAAGACGACACGCGATTACCACAACTTAACCGACTTTACGTCGGTTGAATGATAAAAAGTGTTTGCTAAAAAGCCCGAGTTTCGATGCACCTGTACACAGGGTTTATTCTTCTAGACATTTTGACATTTCAACATTTTATTTTCATCATAGTCTTATGATTTCATTTTTTTTTTTTTGTTTTTTTTTGTTTAACAGAAAAACCGTGTTTAATATTGTAATATTTAATACTGTTATAGTATTTTTGCTGAAATGATAAAAAATCGAGATACGATACTAACAAAACCCTACGATCAGATCGGAGTTTACTATTATTCGTTAAACAAAAAAAAAAAAAATGTTAACTATCGACAGGTTAAAGAAAATAAAAAATTAAAACGTCAAATAATAATATGATCTTTATAATAATGCAATGTTCAAATATTTCGAAATAATAACAAAAAAGGGTAATTTTTTCAATTTTTCATCAATATTTGAAATAAGAATATTATATTGTATTCCGTATACCTGAGGTGAATTGTATAAAAAATAATAACTTAATTTGGGGTTAGAATTTGGAAAATTTAAATTTCAAACAGAAAAACTAACACGGTTAGTGATGAATAAATGCACGTCGTTATGAATACATTCTCTTGGGCAAGTCTGTATGCTTCGTGACACTTCAGTTCTTGCAGAGTATGCATACGATCGTTGAATATGAAATGAAAATGAAATGAAAAAAAATTGTTTGCCGTTACACATATGTAATAATCAGGACTCGGAACTTAATGCGTTAAAAAACAATAAAATATGTACATACATATGCATTAAAAAGCGCAAATATGCAGTGTAATATGTAATTATTTTTTTATAAAATATTTACTTATTATATATGTATAATTAAATTTGAAAAATTGTATTTTATAATTAAATTTTATATGTATTTTTTCCTTTTATGTATTTTGAATTATTTTGTAGATATTTCAATTCTATAGATCACGAAATGAATTTTTATCGACTCAGATTTTATCTATGTATCCTTCTAAGAAACATACAAATGGATGAAGTTTTGAACCCTAATAATAATATTATCAATTTGTAAAAAATATGTAAGTACCTATTTGATTATGTTACGATCAATGATGAAAATTAATTATATCATGACCATATATATATCGTATATCATTGTTGTGTTGCTTTTTAGACGGACATCAATATTATTGACCGAACTTTTTGATGAACTACAACGATTTGGGAGTATTTATTTTAATTTTAACATACCATTACTTTAATGGTACAAATACGACCGGGTGTGCCATTTTGTGTACGTTTAACTGATCAATTTAATAAAATACGTGTCGACTACGTAACCGATTTAGGCTACGGTTACTATGGATGCGAGTTTTGACGAGTTCTGACGAATTCGACAGAACAAACAAACGTCTTTTTTTTCAAAGAAAATTTTTACAATGGCTACGAAAAAAAAAGCATCAAAACACACACTATGTTGTCAAAAACAGTTAAACATTCAAACAAATTTGATTTTTTCGTGAAATCTGGGTTTGTTTTGGGTATTTTCATGCGTATAATTTCGAGTAAATTAATTTGGTTAACGAACCATGAATTTCAATAAATTGATTAGTATTGTGTACGAGAACAGGTGTTTGCGGGTTATGAGTGACAAAAATTATCGTGGCAGAGATATGCCGCAACAGACGAGAGATATTTCTCGACAAAAGTGGGAGAAAGTTTCTATCGAACTCAACGCTAGTAATTAGTACAAATTTTTATTAATACGTCATGTTGAAATGAATATATTAAAATCAGAGACGTGTTTAATGGAGGCAAAGGGAACATTTGCTCTCCGGTGTTATAATTTTCATATTTTTAGAGCGGCATCAACATATTTTTAAAGCAAGTAACCAATTATTGGAAAACGGGAATATATATATATAGAACTCACATCCATAGTAGACGTCGCCTAAGGAGTAGTCATGGTTTTAACGAACTTCAAAAGAAAACATGTGCTTTCTTTCGCGATTCGTGTGAAAAGTTTAAGAATGACTTAAAACCTAAGCAGTATAAACACATTATTATTTAACTTATCTGGAGAGATTTAGATACTGCTAACGATAATTATATCTGGTTCTTATCGATTATTCTAGCATTGTTCATAAACGTGCGCCAATGTTAGAAAATTAATTATTTTGCCTACCAACACCGGTCGTAATTATAAAAGTAATGCCTGGTAAATTTACCAGAAATGTTCGTAGTTTGCACTTTACCGCACGTCATTAGAACAATATCAACAATCAACACTTTGTTGTTATTGATACAATGGGTTGGTTAAAAAAAAAAAAAAATCTGTACAGTTGACATAATAATATATATTATATGCAGATAAATTATAATTAATAACAATACAATACGACAGTATTCGTTTCAATTTTTACTTTTCCGTCACGACGAAAATGCGTCGTGCCGTGATAAAACGTTGAACAGTGTGGTATTGTACGTATACAACGCGTATAGACTATTATACTTAAATACATTATAATATTAAAGTATTAGATGTGCGATGGCATAGAAAAAAAAAAAAAAACAGAAAAATAAAAATAAAAGAAGAAATGTTTCTAAAACATGTTTAGAGATCGGTCGTAAAAGTTTTCGGATAGTTTTGTGTGGAGACCATCGACTCGGTGTTTGAATGACACGTCCGCCGGTTGTCGATGATCAGTTGACCTGACGAAGTTGACGACGACTCTGAAACCGACGTGACGCATTGTGTTATGATTATAATAATAATATACCCGTAGAATTGTTAAAATCTATAAAAAAAAAAAAAAACCGTTACTGCGTCTTTACCGTAAAATCGGAATCGGTAACGTTTTGTTTTATTCTTTTCATTACAGGATTGGGTTTGTCGCTGATACACTAAGACTCAAAAGTGATGGATTCGCGCTCGGATATAAGAGATAAACATACAATTTAGGGACAGCGTATCAACATGTAATACTTGAGAGTAGCGCGTTTGCTCGTAAATAATAGTGGCAATAATAATAATTATTAATGTTGTCAAGTTTATAGGAGACGTTTTAAACTTTAGATACCATTAATGCGTACGTTGTGTATGGAGCCGTTTAGATATCGCGGTTGTTGTTTATTATATTGTATACAGAGTTGGTATCTTTGTCTCTCTCACAGTCTTTCTCTCTTTCTTTCCCTCTATTTTTCCTTATAATCAGTACTCGTGTAAGATCCGTATCAATTTGTCAAAATGTTTATTAAAACGGACTATGAGGAGAGAAAAACAAAGGTGAACACAGATTCATGTAGACGGATACTCGGTGCGAGTACATGGAAATAATGACCATAAAATAAGCATAAATAGTAATCGATTATAATACATCATGTGTGTGTTTAGTCGCCGAGGTTGACGACGATCGTCTACCGAAACTGTACGTGCATAAAACGTCATTAAAATACTCTACGTATTTATCATACGCATAATAGTTTTTTGTGTCAAAAAAATAAAATAAAGAAACTCCTTCGAAAAAAAAGTTCTTTGTACTTGCACTATTACAAAAAAAAAAAAAAAAATAAAAAGGAGAAAACCGTCCGATTGAAATACGTCCAGAAAAAAATAAGCAAACAAATCTACGGTTTTCGTTTCGTAAATGAAATGGTATATTTTTTACCTCCTAATAACCACAAAATAATAATGTAGTTTGAGTTTTAAGGATATCGCAAAAATAATGCTTTTGTTATAAATCGTTAGTTGTCACGAACGTATGTTCAACGTACCTATAGTGCAATATAATATAATTTTATATGATACTGGGTATTATAACACCAAGAAAATAATAATTATTTTCGTTTTTTTTCTTTGTGGAAATCGTTCACTAGACATTTAGAGTATTTACTGCAATTGTTCATAATTAAAATTATTCAAATCAAATTTTGATTTAAAAATGCTGATTTTTTGTTTAAATTCTAATTAATACCGAAAAAATTATTGTTCTATATAAATGTCAATGTACCATACGTAAACGGTATATTATGATAACGGTGAATTCGTCATTTTACTATTTAGGTTTGGAAGGAGTAAACACGAACAATGTTGTTGTAATGGTGTATAATTTAATTTTCTTTCTGCAGTTGAAAATGTAAACACGGTTTATCGTTAGAATAATTGCTTATTACAGTCGAGTTGTGATAACTCGAATCGGAAGAGGGAAAAATTCGAGTTCAACTGCAATTATTAACAATCAGTCCATCTTATATTATATTTTAATTATGAAATCAGCTACTGTATAGTATCGTAATTTCCATAAATATATTATCTTCGGGCAATTAAATATTAACCGTCGTTGAACGTGGCATAAACATAAAAAGTTGGTTGTTAATATTTTTTTCAAATAATTACATTAAAATTCGGAAAAAAATCTACGCTTCGTCGATTTCGAAATGTCAAATGTTATACTACTGATGTGATAGTACTATTGTGTACTATATTTACTTTACTCGATTGTCGCTGTCGTAGCATATTTAGATTAAACAATCCCCCTAAGAGGGTCGTGACATTTTAAAAAACGGTCGTTAATAATTTTGTACCAACGGAAGGGTTATGGATTACGTGTGTCAAAAATTGCTTAAGATTAACGATTTCTCTCGGACGAATAATATAATGAATGTGTTGCGTAGGCGAAGAGATTTGCATCATCGAATTAAAATACGTTTTGGGGAATCGAAAAAGCGTGTTCTTCTCGACTTGTTGTCTCCCTCCAGATTTGGAGTCGGTAATGTTTTTTATTTCATTTTTTAATAGCCAACACGTCGATTTGAGATGATCAAGAACCGTCTGTTGTTTTTGGACTATTGCAAGTGCGGGTAGTCGACGGGAATTTCCCGCGCACCGGTTCACGTGATGCGAGAAGATTTCACTGCCAGGACAATCGCCGCAGGACACTTACGGGACCGCGACGTGAGACAACATCGTAACGATCGCGCAATGATCGTACGGATATGGAAAAACAGATTTGAATCAAATTCCTATCCGGATTCGACGAAACATCCGGATTTGCGAATTCACTTTTACTACAACTTTTAATTATTTTTAATTTCTAGTAATAAAACACAACGTGTATTACATACATCTGTGACCTACAGCGATAGCATGACCAAACGTCCAATGAACTCGTCTCAACCGCATAACCATCGAGTGTTTGTCGAACGCGGTTTTTCGAACACGAGTTAAATCTGTACCGTCGAAACACACAATACGGGAACGGTACAAAATAACAATCGTTATCGATTTACTTGCACGGACAAGTTTTCTTACGGTTACCGGACGATCCGGATAGCGCACCTAAACCGGGATTTCCCGTAACCGGGATTTCCCGTCGTCGATCGCCCACCGTATACACAATCGTAAAACGTTACCGGGCGCGATGCATTGCTGCTCCGGCGGCGGGGAACAGCCTTGTTTCCAGTTGGCGTGCAACAGGTCCGCGGACTTGAGGCCGGGCACGTCGAAGTCCGGGAACTGCACGTGCTTCCTGGAACCCCTGCGCGAACCGCCCGAGGTGCACGTGGACCCGGTGGCCGCCGACGTGGCCACGGCGGTCACCGTCGTCTTCGTGGGGCTCTGCGTGGGCGACGCCGGCAGCGTGGCGGGCCGCCTGGAGCTCAGGCAGCTGGTCCCGGTCGGCTGGCTCGTGTACCTCACCGGCGATATCTGCACCACGGACACACGCGATAACGCGCGCGTCATCAAATTCTGATCGGCGAAAAACGCGAACGGGCTATCGCCTAACCCCGTGTCGTCGTTTTACCGTTCAGCACCGGGACGAGTGGACGCGACCAACGTACGCGATATGATTAATTACGACCCCGCAGTCGAAAACGTGACCGTGGTCGCGACGACCCGAATCGGAAGAGGGAAAAATTCGATTTTTATATAAAACGTCCGACGTTCGACCGCGCGACTGTTGACAATCGGTCTTATGTTTTAACCGCGTGATCGGCTGCTGTACGGTGTGCACGCGCGAGGGCGCGGACTATGGGCCTTTCCCCCCCCCCCCCCCCATCCCCCTCATCCAACATTTAAGTGCCCTGTTCACGATACGTCGACCGTGATCCACGTTTTTTTGCGTGCAATAATAATGTAAGGGTTACCGCGAGTCGGTTATATCGTTCGTAGGACCAGCGTTTCTCTGAACACAATAGCTGCGGTCGACCGTCGTCGGCGAGACGTAATATAGTAATTATAAATATGAAAAAAAAAAAAAACCAACTAATCTTTCTAACTTTTTTTTGCCGCAGGTTGATAAATTTATTTTTATTTTTATATTAGCTACCTATTAAAAGTTTACTACTCAAAAGTAGTTTTTGTTGTACACGATTATTTCGATCGAAAAATTGAGCGTTTCGGTAAACTTTTCGGAGAAATTATTGGATGAGACGGGTTTTAAGCGCTGCGACAGGTATAGGGTTGACTATCCTTGTGTCTCCCGAATTACTTTAATATCTGGTTGTAACTCGGCAAGATTTCGAGCGTTAAACTGTCTTCCTATACGGATTGAATATTATGAATTTTTAATTTGAATGTACAGAAAATAATCGAAGAAAAAATTACACAACCGACCTTTCGCAGCAGACCAAAAATACTAGAAATGCGGCACGTCGGTATCTTGGTTCCAATAACGTAATCGATTTTGAATAATTTACTCAGAAGTCGTATTATAGTTTCTACGCACGCCGAAAAAAAGTTTTTAATACAATAAGAATGATAATCGTAACTGTTCGTATTCAACTCCATTAATACTCAATTAGATTTTTTTCTTACAATATTATATACTAAAAAGTTACAGCTCTGCTATAACCTTTTTTTTATTTTATTAAGAGTATTTTTATTTTTAAAGGAGTATTTATTACTATTTTAAATCGAGCCAGGTACTAGGATTAAAATCTAAAACGGTGAAATGGGTCGTGATCCTTAAATGTATAGTTTTGAACGTTCACTACAGGTCTTAAAAATGGTCGCTCAAAGACGCGAATGACGGTTTATCATTTCTCTTCGTCCCTTGAATAATTATGTTGCATTATTATATAATATTAGTCAAAAAGTATTAACAGAAACAGTATTACTGGATATAATTTTAAAGAAACATGAACACAAAATAATGCACATGAGGTTGTAAAAATATGGGTACATTTTACCCAAAGTCTAACATAATATTACACATTGCCATAATGAAACGATCGAATAAGTAAATAATAACTCAAATAAGAGCAATGTCGCATTTTTCTGGTGTTGAGCATTTTTTTGTTTTTTTGAGAACAAAATTTTAAGGGGGACATTTTATCGATAATTTCAGAAATACACTTGTTCATTATCATCTCGCTGCTCCAACATTTTGATTTTTAACGTAATATAACATAATGTCTATCTGTTTTACGTAATATTACCGTTCGGAAAAGCTGTTTTAAAGTTACAATTGGCCGGTTAAATTTTTAAAAAACTATTTTATAAATTGATCGATATTTTAATAATAGTTGCTCGTGAACTAAGATTTTAGCCATTTCAAATATGCGATATTTAATGACGATATTACAAACTGTTATTTAATTTATAATAAAAATTCAAACTTGAAATGCAAAATTATAATATTTTAAAATAAATATAGTGCAACGAGAAATATATTCTTAGGAAGAACTAACGGGGAGAAAAAACAGGAATTGTTCAAAGTGAATTATATTTGTATTCGTATACGGTCAACGGAATAGATTTTATAACATAGAAATGGGGAAAACTGCACGGTAACATTACAAATTGTTCTTGAAAATTACATTTGATGAACGACGATTATGATTCAAAACTAAAGATAATTTGATTGATTAAGTCTGTTTTTGAAGTATAATTTATTAGAAAACCCGCCTTGGATTGTTACTCATAAACGATGTTTAATCTCTTGCAAATGGATATTTTATTAAAACTGAAGACTTTGATTCACATAGAAATTACCATAAATATAAAGTTGGGTCGTGATGGTTTAAATGTATTTTTTTTATTTATTTATTTTTTTCCTTTATGAGTTCAAAATGTGTTTAATGTATTTAATCTTAAAGTCAAAAAATTTCTTAATGTTTTAAAATGAAAATTATTAAAATATTAAAACATTTAATTATATTTAGATGTTAATTTAGGATGGTAAACAAATGAAGCGTTCGAGGTTTAAATCCTCTCCCCCTAACCAATGTTTTGAAAAAATATTTCTTTCTTAGCGTAACTATACATATTATTTATGTTTTTGATGAAATATTTTTCGTGTACGTATCTGTGTTAAGTTATGAAAAAATATTATTTCGCTTAATTAAAAAATGGGATTCATACGCAATAGTGTTATTAATACTTTTATGAGATATGCTATAGAATAAGTAAATTATAAAAAATTTAATGAAGTGTATTATAAGCAAAAATCTTTTGAAAATGAATAGAGTTTCATTTACTTTGTTTTAACTATTTTAAAACCTTTAATTTAATACAACTAATGTACTAAATTAAAGTATACATTTAATTAACTAGCAATATATGTTCACCCCTAAGCATAATTTTTACGTAATTATACGTTTTTGGAGAAAATTAAAAACTTCGGGTGTTTACCTTTAAAGTTTGTTCAAATCGCGCTGTACCTCTTCCAGCCATTAATTCTTGATATTGAGATATCACACAGAGTACTGCGTACATCTGTAAAATATATAATAATGTTATTGTTAAAGATAACACAGAAAAAATATGTATCTAATACGTGTATGGGTATGGGTGAAGATAATGATAAAAATATTATTATAAAATACATTATGTATGCGTAGGATCCTCTACTGTCATAGGGGTTATATGTTGTACTACCTACTTTTATAAATTGAAATGTTTGTTTTCCCAAACATTATTAACTTAACCGTATGTGTTTACCTAATTTTTTTATTTATATAATTTATAAAATGATTGATCGAGTACACCAAGTAATTTGAATGGAATATGGTGATGTGACTATTTTTGAAAAACTGAAAAGAGGAACTAGATTCGTAGATTCGTCTTTTACATATACTTAGATGTATCTGGATTTGTAACAATATTTCGTGAGAAAATAAATCACCAAGTGAAAACTGCAATTGTAATAGATGCTGTACTGCGTATCAGTTTAAAGATGATGACTTTTATTTTTTTATATATTAGCTATTCCTTACACTTCAATCCGGTGACATACTGAATTTATGCTGCGACAAAACCAACCCGTTAACATTATATGTCGTCATTCGGAATTCACCGAAAAATTTGCTTTGTGGCGCACAAAAATACAGACTGACAAGTTTTTTTGTTCTCCGTTCAGCGTCCCAATTACGAATATTAAATATTTTTACAGTAGTCCTCAGAATATAAAGGTGTTGGGATTCGCCATACAATCCATATCTGTAAAAACCTTAACCTTGCATGAAATTAAAAAATAATAATGCATTGTTAATCATTCCGTCGCTTAATCTATTTTATTGAGACATGAGTTCTATATTTTATCATATTTACCACCCGCATAGATGGACTGTAGACTAGTGGTAGTTATAAGTATACTTTTTTGGAAAGGTGACTTGCGTAACCTAACCTCATCCCACCACAGAAAAAATAATAATATTGACATATTTATGGAATTAAAAACATTATAAAAATAATGATAACTTATTGTAAACGATTAAAAGCTGTTTTAAAATGTTTGTTAAAACATTTTAATATTAATTTATTTTTTAAGGAAAAATACAATCCATAAAAACATTTGTTCAGTAAACAGTTATACATATATATATATATATATAATTATATATAATATATATAATTAATACAATATATCGTAATATGAATAAGAGAACATTGGGACATTCAGTACGAATGTTAGAGGAATAAATTTAAACTTGAATAATATAAATGTATTCATTATTTATGTATAATATAATATTAAATCAAAATTAATAGTCAGTCGATTCGGAAGACAATATTTGTCGAAAATTTTGTAAAAACGAAGAAAATGAAATGTAGATTATAGAAAGCTAACGATTTTTGTTTCACTATTTTTTTTTTATAGCAATCCGTTTAATCGATATTTGCACGTGCAAGTTGTAGTATTTTCTATTCATGTATGTGTGTATAGTTTAGGAATACCACCAACAAAATGAACCGACCGACGTGACTGTAATCTCTGTGACAATATTACTCGTATATCGAATAATAATATGTAGGTATATTGCTGTCGGATGTCGTCAGTACCGAATTAACCTACAAGCAAGTTGAGCCTGTAGAATTTTTTTTTTTATACAGAGAACATTTAAAATCTGTAGATTTGCACGTAAAGTCGACAGCCAAACGAGACTCGGCATCGGTCGAATTATTACGGGGCAAGTTTCGGTCGACAGAAATGTTCAGACTAAACCTGGATTTTTGTTGAGTTCACCAAAACTATACAGTATACATAATTGAATTTCTTTCTGGAGTTACAAAAAGGCTATATTTTTAATAATAAATTTAATAATTTTTCACAATTAATCATGTTGTACATACTGTTATCGAGGTGAATGACGAAAGGAAAATAACAAATATACTACTCGTGCGTCATAATATTATGAAAATTAAATTAAATCCTACAAAATTTATTTTTGTTTGTTTGTGCTTGTTTTTATTTTTTTAATAATAACATAAACGCGTTTGTATTATGTAAATAAAGTTATTACAAAAACTATTAATATAAGTATTATATCGATTCGAAAAAACTAAATATTATGTTTTAATCAGGAATCCACTGTATTCGGTTGTGTACGACCGAATTTATTAGGTGTAATGTGATCATTACAATTTAATTCCATATTTTAATTTTTTTCATTCGTATTCAACCACTGCTGGATCTAGTCTGACCGTAGCCTAAATTTGTTTGATTGGTAATTAAAAATATATTTCACGTTTACGACCGAAACGATTTTACACATGGGTTTAAACAGTTTTTAAGTTTTTCATCGACATCATTATTATTAATTAGGTATTAAGAACGAAAATGAGAATAAGAATATTTTGCTTAATATAAGATGATAGTGGATTTAAATGTGATCGAGAGTTTTCTAAATGTTGAAAGGTTATTACACTTAAATATTTTTCTTATGAACAGTACCGGATTTACAAATTGTGTAAATCGGAGTACAACATAATATTAGCTACCCTAAAAGTTGCCAATAAAAAATGCATGTGTCCTAACGTGTGTCAAAATACGGATTATTATTGGTGATTTAAATTTTAAATATTCACACAATCAATAAATATATCATACATATATTTAATATTTATATATTATGGAAATGTTTATTTTTAATAAAAAAACAAATAATTTAGAACTTAAAACTATATCATAATTTAATGAAGCATTAGAATCTAATATTAAAATAATAGTAAACTAATATTTTCTCTTATTTACTATTTCCTCTTGTTTCTCTAGTGTGCCATCTGTATTTTATAACAAATGTACGAGTGCATATATTTTAGTATTTATAATTCAAAAATGTATCTGACACGATTATATATTTATATGAATAAATAAAATTATAATTAATTTTTAGTTTAGAAGCACGGTTGAGATATATAGGACAGCTGTATACTTTTTTTTTACTTTTTATGGCCAATAAGGCTCGTCTGACTTATTTGTTCACGAAGCACTTAATCCGGCATTGGCTGTGGTGTAATCCGTATACCCGACATAATAAACGCCCATCCGTCTTTGTTCCCGTCGCAATCTTCATTGCCTATACTTCTTATTTTTCTCTGGACGAATGTGTCGCTTATGGATTGCTGCTTTTCACAAACTATTCATGTGTTACGTTCGAGCAATTGTAAATTTTTATTTTTTTTTCTCTTTGATTGATTGTTTTATTACCTTGTATGAATGTATTCCTACATGACATTTACTTATTGTGTCATTAGGTACAGATTGTAAATTTCATTAAAAAAAAATGTTGATAAAACGATAAAAATTCCAAACGTCAGTTACATTGTAGTAAAAAATGCATAACATTTTAATTTCTTTTATATAAGACTTGAAAATTGTGTATAAGATTTTTGATATGATTTTATTTGTTGCTAAAAAATATTTAATTGGAAAGTTGAAAAAATTATTTTCTAAGTATTACAAAATGAAATTTAAACGAAATCGGATATTTTAACAAATTTCCATTGAACAATATAAGTTATTTAGTGAAAGTTAGTCAGAGTTTCGAACTATTTTAACGAAATTTGTGCTTTGAACGAGCAATTCAATTTAAGATTTTTCTAAATTCAAGATATTTTTTTTTATTTTGCGAAACTTAGAACATTAAAATTTCAACCTACAGAAACCTAAAGAAATTTGGTTCTTCTTCTATATTGACCATATTTATAAATATAAACTGATCCATCCTACCACTTTCACTCAGAATATTTATTTTTTTTATAGTAATGGTACATTTGCTTCAAGTTTAAAAAACCAATACGATTCAACCATCTCTGTATCTCACCAGGCCATGGTGTCTCACTTAACCAAAAGTTCTGCCTTTTTTATAAATTACATTTCGAATTTTGTTCGAAAAAAAAAAGAAATTTAAATTAACAGTAGGTTTTCTAACCATCAACAAAGAAACATGTTAATCGAGTATTATTTTCTTTATAAGTTTAAGCGAAGCGTTACCTCACTTTCTTCACCATCAAAGATGCCACACGAATTAATAACTCTATGGTTAAAATCGTAGATATTATAATTATATATGATATGGATGTCAGATCGGGATGATCTGTTAAATTAAAAATCAGATATTTTATACGAACTAGCTTCAAAACACTAAAATTCCGTCAGTGTCGTTTGGACCGAAAATATTTTTGCTAAAAATTTTTAATTTATGTTTATCTTAAGTTCAGAGATTTTTTTTTTGTAGATATTTGATTAAAATTTTTTTTTTGTTAAAATTATAAACTATTTAAACTGTAGTCTCAGGAACGTGTCGACTGAACATATTAATATTTGGATTAGTATTTACTTGTATGTTTTCATCATCTCTCCCGCTTACTTTAATACCTTCCAAATAATCGTGTGTACACGTTATTGTTCATCCGATACTAACACTGAGTAATACCAATACAGCTTACACACCTATGTTCACTCATCCATTCAGAGCGGAGTTTCCATGCATTTTATTATTATAATTTTTTAACATTATTTTTATGTTCCCAAACAGTAGTTAGCTCAAAGATCAACGTGGATATAGCAGGATTGACGAACTGTACGTTTTCTTTTTCATTTTAATTTTTCTCCATATAAGGCGTAAAAAATAAGTATAGTTATACAGATAATATATAAAATTAATTCGTTAAACAAAAATGGTTTTTCAATGAAGTATACACGGAGTTTCACGGAGGAAATGCGTCATGTAAAGAGCCCCATTAAATTAAGGTTTGACAGTAACATTGAACAAATTACGTATTTCGTACCCAACAATAGCTTTTTATTATGCTAATAATCCATAGGGCATAGTAATAACCAACTTCACAATTTGATCAACCACGATCAGTATATCTTGCTCCGCAGAGTGGTGATGAACCAGTAACGGTTCCAGGAGGGTTTTGGGGGTTAACCCCCCAAATTAGGAAAAATATGTATTAAAAATCAATAATTTTCATTATCAAGGGAAATT